GTAACTTATATGGAACTTGGATATTAGATATTATGGAAACTAGAAAGACTAATAGTTGAAAACTGAGATGAATTAGAATTACAATTAACTGAGAATAAGAGGCGACTTTTATTATATGACTTCTTTTATGTCATTCATGAACTTTATCAAGTCACGGGCGTTATCTTTATTCATCGACCGAAGAAAGTTAGCTCCATCATCCGTAGTTTGCGATCCTAAACTAATTCTTCTTCGCTTCTCGAATCTTATGCACTTGAAGGCAATGTGTCCTGGATCCTCCAAGCATTGGTATGTTGGGCAGTGACCGCTATTTTCTTAATATTTATTTGTTATCTTGTATTTACTTAGCCCTGATGAAAGTCTGAAATTTAGGCCGAAACGGTGGCACAAAGAAAATAAATAATTTTTTTTTTTTACTTCTTTGTACTCTCAATGAGTGCAATTCCCAACCATCTGCAATTTTCCTTTGCTGAGGAACAAGACGAACTATGCGTTTTTTAAAGTGCTCTAATTTTGTGTAGAAATTATTATTTGTATTTCATCCTCAAAGCTTGCTGTTTTGAGTTTGCAGTATATATATATTATTCTAAAAGCGAATTTTGCATTCCCTTAGGTGAGGATTGGCGGGTAGATGTACTTATATATAACCATCTGAATGCGTGGCCAAGGCTTTGTAACATAATAAAGGTTTGACCTTGGTCGTCTGTAGGAGCTAGCGGCTCCCAACAGTCTCAGCTCTAATTCTCCTAAAAATATTACATCATTCCCTTTAATAGTAAATATAATAATAATAAAAATTATTGTACTCATACATTTTGTTCTAAGATTTTGGGTTTTTGGAAGGATCCGAAAGCTTCAAGTCTCTCGAATTCATAAAAAGTTGGTCCGTATCTATCAGCATTTAGCCAAACTGAGGGAAACAATTTGGGATTAAAATTCAAACAAATTAATTAATAAAAAAGGATTTTATTTTTCCGTTAAAAGGTATGCAACGACTCATTGAGCGAACGGTCCGACCAATTTTTAAATTTCTCAGTGACATCACGATTTGTTTGTTTTATTATTTTCAATAATCAACCATTGTGATGGACCAAAAAATTCAAAAACTTAACTCCCTCCCAAAATTTGATGTTTCACGTTTCAGGATGCGTTGAATTCGAAAAACGAATACAAATTTTTTTGTCCGTCCTCCGTCCGCGCATTTTGTCCGAAACTACTGTACCTATTTTTTTTTTTAAATTTGGATATAAAATCAGAGGTCACCCGAGGATGATCCTCCTTCATCGACGTTTCTATCCGCCTTTTACTTTCAAAATGGCGGCCGAAAAAACTGCGTTGCTGTACTATAGAATATAGCTCCTAAACGAATGTACCGATTTCAATGAAACTTCGCTAAAATAATTTTCTTGACGCCCTTTAAATTTATCTATATAACATACTTCAACAAAAAGAAACTGTAAAAAATGTTACGAGGGATGGTAAAATTTAATTACGAATAACTCAAAAATTATACACTTTTTTTTCAATATTGTATGGTTTTTCACAAAAAATCGTTAAAATCGGACAATTAGGAGCAATTATATGGTCTCCAGTTTTTTTAAATATGTTCTACTCCAAATGTTATATCCTTTGTTTGGTTTTTAAATTTTGAATGTGTTACTGAAGTAATGCTATTTTTTTTTTTTTTTTTAGCATATTACGAATGATTAAAGAAAATACAGTTTAGTCCAATAATTGGAATCACCTTTTATTTATTTTTCTTTGTAACTAGGAAGGTAATGTTACTTTAGGTGTATAGTTGTTTGGAAATAATAAACCATTGTGAAATAATTTGCAGAGTTTTTTTTTTAACCACTATAAAGGATGAGAAAGCTACTTGTGACTCCGCAATTTTAATTCATATGCATTTAAATTTATAAAATAAATATTTATACATGTAATTTCAATAGAATTTAAGGAATATTTTGAGGGTAGATATTCTGTTTTTGTTGCTTTTTTTTTATTTTTGTGTATTCCCTTTATTTCAAGATAATTTCTAGAAATCCTAACCTACCCCACTCAATCTAGAAAATGTCGGTTACATCCAGGATAACCCGCCTCTTCCTGTCCTAATTGGTGTAGGTATATAAAAGGGGCATTAAACCCAATACCCAACAAAGCGCTGCTCCATTCAAATACTTTTTTTTCCCACAAGACCGTTCTTTCTTCCTTTTCGGCTTTATGAATTTAAAAAATATTTAAACTTTTTACCTGATTCTGATAATAATTTGTAAATTTGAGGGAAAATATATAACTGTTGCTCCTTCTGTACTATCGTCTTTCCTTAAGACGCCGAGGTCCTTTTGATTTAAAATGGTTTGCGCGGAGACAAGTTAAGAGATGTCAGAATTAACGGAAGCTGTTCAAATCAAGGTCGACGTAACAGGCATTACCATATGTGGAAAGAATTGCTGCGCGAACACACCATGCCACAGGAGGCGGAACATACGATAAAAAAGAATTACGCATTTGTAATCAATAAAACTGTAGTAAAGCGTGGGCTTCTACATTTGATACTCGAACGTGACCGTAAAAAAAAAAAAAAAAAATGCTCTTCCCGTATAACTGATACAACCGTTATTGTTCGTCTGTTCTTGTTTAAAAAAAAAATATGTGTAAATCATGGTGGAATAAAAAACCTAAATACGTACGCCGCCATACATACCAAAAGATATTATATACAAACTAATGATTTCCTCGTTAAAGTTCTTTAAATATTCGAATTAATGATTCTTTATTAATATTTTTGTTGCCTTACAAGTGCATTTAATGTTTTAATTTCATTTATAATCATTACTTCTTTGTTTCTATTTCAATGTCATTTAATCGTTAATATATGAATATAATATATGTCATAATAAGTATGTGAAATGATATGAAGAGTTGAATTGATTTTAATTATACAATTTTTGTTAATCAGCTTATTGTTGTTATAATTTATTGTTATTATAATGCTTTTTTTTAGTGCTTTGTATGTTTTTGGTTTTTTATGTTACGTTTTATCTCATTCGCTTGACGTTCACTTATTCCTAACGGTCGTTAGGTTGGCTGCATTGTTATCTACAGCTGATGGATAACGAATGGCCGTTCTTGATTGTCTCGCCTTTTTCCCATGACATATAAATATAATTTATTATTAATCCATTCATATCATTCAACAGCAATTCTTAGTTTATTAGTATTTACAGCATATTATTAATTATTTAAATGAATCGAGTTATACGGCCTCATCGTAAATCAATCAATCAAATACTATTGAGTCGCGATGAATCGTTGGTATCGATGTTATCTAAGGAAGTGATCTATGTTACAAACCTTTTCCAAGGTTCACTTTTCCAAACCATAAACTTTATGAACATTACTTTGCCATTATACTTTGCCGAGATTATCTAGTTTATGACCGATTTGCCATCTATCTTCTTTGCACCATTAGCGGAATATTTTAATATTGAAAATTATATCTTATTATGCTGCCCAGTGTATTTGTTATCCCTCAAGGTATGATTAAGAACGTTACTTGACTATGTTTGCGTTAATTTGAGTTTAACAGTAATATATTTAATTATTGATATATTCTTGCTTAGGCTATTTAATTTTCTTATTTAAATATAGCTTATTTATCATTATAAAAAAAAAATTCTTTAATTTTCAACTAAAAACATATTAATTTTCTGTAGTACTCATTTTGTTAATTTGAGAATTTTCCAGTGGATGTTTCTCAAAATTCAGTATTAGTAGTTTTCACATTTTAACACCAATCAAACAAATCAATTACAACTTATGGTGTGTTATGAATTTTTAAACAAATTGATAAGTTTACCCGGTGTTCTTATTGTCTTTAAAATGAAATAGGATATTGTAATATGAGAAACAGTTATGAAATCTCTTCTATTTGTAGTATGATATCTATGTGTATTATAACTTTCTGTTTGCATCACATGTGGATGTACAGGTTGATGGGAGGGTAGCTTTCGGGCTTAACTTCCCCCAAAATGATGAAATATTCCATGTTTTATGGGAAAAAAATATTAAAAATTGTCCCTTAAAGTTTTATTGTTCGTGTAATTATACTAAGCAGGACTTCAAGAATCACTTAAAAACCATTTCATATAGGTAGTTACTTTCTTTCTTTTTTTCCCAATGTAATTATTATTATTATTTTATATATATATATATATATATATATATATATATATATATATATATATATATATATATATAATATATATATATATATATATATATATATATATATATATATATATATATATATATATGAACAAAAAAGCTTTTGGGCTGAAGCCCTCTTCCCCCCCCCTCCAAAAAAAAATAAATTAAATTCTGGATCTGCTAGTGATTTGTATTAAAAATGTAAATTTTTAAATAAGACTTTTGTTATGTTTTTAATATATTTAAAGATGAATAAATAAATGCAGTAATATAATACAAGTTAGTTAATAAATATTTCATTTTGTACTCCAAATTTGACAGTTGTTTTATTTTGTGAAACTCTTACTTCATTATAAAGGAAGGAAAGGGCTGTCTGTAGTTTGGGGACCGCTGATATAGATGATAGACAAATTAACGATAATAATATAAATCAATAAGACATTCACCAATAGACAGAAATTCGATGTTAGGTTATAACTTGAAAAATTTCAACCTCACAGCATTATGTCTCCAAAAATAAAAAAAACCTGTCAATGCTTTGCCAACAGGATTCATCAGGATAGAAAGCAAATCAAAGGTCACACCATGACATCCTTCAATTAGTTTTTCTTTCTTGATGTCTGAATTGGTAAAATGTTGACTGATTTTTTATTTTTTCCTGCATTTTGGAAACATAAGGCATAAGGCTGTGTGGTTAGAATTTTTCAATTATAAATTAATGACAATATTTGAACTATCCCTTTTTATAGTAATATGTAATAATTTAATATATTTTTTTTTTCTTTTTCCAGGCGGTGGGAAGAAGATGGCGGAGGTGGACCCAGAGACACTCCTGGAGTGGCTCAACATGGGCCAGGGAGACGAGAGAGACATGCAGCAGATTGCCCTCGAGCAGTTATGCATGTTGTTGCTCATGTCAGATAATGTTGATAGGTGTTTCGAGAAGTAAGTGCTAATCAATTTTAATTGCGTTTATTCAAACTATTTATACTGAAATTGTCTCTATATTTCAGAAGTTTAATGGTTTTGTGTAGAATGCACCAATTTAAGATGCCTACACAAGTTAGTATGGTTAAGCTTTTGATGTAATTAGATGTTCACGTGTTTTATTTGTTAATTTGTATTATGAATTTAAAGTATTTGTCAAAATGATGATCATTCTAGTCTTCTTTACTTAGAATGTTAAATCATTGTTGTTGCTCTTTGTAGATTGTTTATTATGATAATTCAAAGCTGTATTCATAGCATTAACTTTATTTTTTCCCATAGTAAGTGTAACTTAAAATTTAACCTAAGTGCATTATTATAAAAAGAATAATAAAAACCTCAAGTAAAACAATTTTGGTTGTTCTGGTTATGAGTCTGGGTTACCTAATTAAGAAATATAATTATCGAGAAAGGCATTTCTTTCTTTTTGAAAAATTTTCCAATACTGATACAACACTCTGCTTATTGAATCGGGGAGTCAACCATTCAATTATCATTAGAGCTCTGGCTCCACAGCCTGAAAGATACTAACCTCAAATCTTGGTCACAAATATAGGCAACTAAAATCATCAGCAATTTTTATATTAAATTTTACCATGAATAGAGATGAGTGTTTACCGTATCTCTTCAGCCTCATGGAATATTTTTAAGCTGATGAACAATAATTTAAAATATTTACCTATTACTGTTATAGTTTGAATAAACATAACATTGTTGGAATTGAAAAATATGTTTGGTTTTTTTTTTTTGTTTTTTTTTTAATTTTAATATAATTGTTTTTCAGCTGCCCTCCAAGGTCTTTCCTCCCGGCGCTATGTCGTATATTTCTAGATGAAGGAGCCCCTGATTCTATACTGGAAGTAACTGCTCGTGCCATCACTTACTATCTTGATGTAAGCGCAGAATGTACGAGGAGAATAGTGGCTATGGAGGGTGCCGTTAAGGCTATCTGCAACCGCCTTGTTGTAACAGAAATGGCATCACGCACAAGCAAAGATTTGGCCGAACAATGTATTAAGGTTTGTTATATACAATTACATTTGTTAAATTTTAGTGGTTTGGTTTTTAATAGGTGTGTGACGGTTATTAATTCTTAATTTTTTTTTTTAATAAAAAGTTTAAATTGGGAGTAAGGTAAAAAAAAAGTTAATCCAAAGTATGAGCTAATGTTATTTACACATTTTTCCTATCTCTTTGGCAATTTTCTGATGCCCTCCCTGAAAAGCATACATCTTTTGAGGTGTTCCAATCATCAAGCCATTTTTCGACATTCCTAGATGTCGTTAAAATAGACGAAAACAAGTAGTAGTCAGAAGGGACCAAGTCTGGCGAATGAATGTGACGGATTGGACTTGGGTTCTTAGCTATGTGTAGAAATTGTCTTGACCACTTTTGGGGTATATGATGGGGGCATTGCCATGAGCACTTTTGGGGTATATGATGGGGGCATTGCCATGCTGAAACATTACTTTCCATGTCTTGTAGCCCATTGTTGTCAATTTTCGATCAATTCATGGTTGAAATTGATCATTTGTTGACAGTAACGAAAGGCATTGACTGTTTCTCCTGGTTTCAGAACCTCATGATACATCCATACACCCTTCTTACCTGAAGCACAGCATTGTTTTCTTTCCTGAGTGAATCTGTCTCATGGTTGATGTTGATGATTGTTTTGTGTCAACCCCTGATTTTCTGAGCTATGGGTTATATATTAAACAATATATCCATTTTTTGTCTCCAGTCACGATTCGATGCAAAAAAGCCTTTGTTTTATGCCGAGAAAGCTAAACTTAATACAGCGTTTTTCACTTTTTCATTTGTCTGTGATTCAACTGATGTATCCTGCTTTCTGGATCTTTCTCATGGCATGCAGACGATCATAAATGGTTCAGTGACTAACATTTAGTCTCTCATCGTTTGTTATTGAGTTTGTATCGTCTTCATCTAACAATGCTTGCAATTCAACATCTTGAAATTTGTTGACCTGAGCACTCTTTATCTTTCAAGTCAAAATTACTATTTTTGAATCATCTCAACCAATGCACACAAGCGACTTGTGTAGGAAATTCTTACCATAAGTTTTTCCACAAATATATAATGGCTTTCACTCTTGTTTTTCTTTTCTTTTTTTGAACAAGAAAAGTAGTATGTGCTGCAAATCCTCTTTATTTATCTTGAATCTTGAACATCAATGGCGTTTTGAAAGAGTAGTTTCATAGAGACAAAATAATATAAATAGTTAGACTATGAACCAATTCTTGTTTTCAGCACCATCTTTTATAAAAATTAAGAATTATTAACCACCACACTTGGTAATAGATAGTTAAAGAATCGTGTGTGTGTGTTTAACATGGATAATATTTTACAATTTTTTTTTTTCTTTAGGTTTTAGAACTGATATGTAGCAGAGAAGCAGGAGCAGTTTTTGAAGCTGGTGGATTGAATTGCGTTCTATCACTTATTTCTGAGCACGGTCTTCTAGTTCACAAGGATACTCTACATTCTGCCATGGCTGTAGTTTCAAGGCTCTGTACAAAGATGGAACCTGCTGATACTGGCCTCCCGTCATGCGTGGAAGCCCTTTCTTCACTCTTAACTCACGATGATCCACATGTAGCCGATGGTGCTTTGCGTTGTTTCGCTTCATTATCAGACAGGTTTGCCATTGATTCTTAGAATAAAATGTCATTGTTGATTAGCATGGCATAATATAAATATTTAGTAAGTTAAGTCTAGATGATGAAAAAAAAAAAGAATTTAATAATGAAAAATACCTTCAATCATCTAAAGCATAGGTCAAACCTTTTTATCAGTAAGTTTAGTAAGTGCTAATAGAAGTCTCAACAATTCTTTATATTTTACTGTTGCTGCTTTTATGCTGCTTCACTAAATACGCACACCCACATACATATATTCAACTTAATTCTATTAATTTCCAAATATTCGTTACTTAAATAATTAATTACTTTCTTTATTAGGAAGTTACTTTAATTTTATTCAGATGTTGGCAATAAAAACTTCCATGAAAGTATACAAATTATGTATTTGTATAACTTGTAGTTAACGTTTCGGGATTCGATTCCCATAGTCAGAACTTTATCATACCATAGTAGTCAGTAACTAATACCGTATGTGCTTCTTTATCATAATTTAAACATTTTTTATAAAAGTATTTATCTGGGAGCAACTACATTACTGGAACAACATTTGGACATTAGCTACATAAGTTATTGTAACAAATACATAAATTATGAAGAGAAGGATGGTTGGGGTGATCAGTCATAATAAAATAAATTAAATAATAATAAAATAATAAAAAAAAATAATAAATAAAATAAAATAAATAAATAAAGACCTAACTTTGGGTCGAAATGTGGGCAAATGTTAAAATAAATATTGTTATTTATTTTTGCCATTTGTATTATGGCTGATCATCTATCAACCATCCTTCTCTTCATTACTCACTACAGTCAACCATCAACTCAGAAATACATAAATTGTTAACTTTCATGGAAGTTTTTATTGCCAACATCTGAACAGAATTAAATATTAATTAATTCTAGTGCTAGATTAGTAAATATCGCACAAAAACGTTTAGAGGCTGCAACTACGTCACGTAAGCCACATGTAGCCTATAGGTTGCAAGTGCCTCACGTATGGTCTATTGTATTAAATAAAAACTGTATAATAAAATATTGGAAAATTAATATTTATTTTTCATCTATATATGGATACATATCTTTTATATTTAATTTGAATACATTGTCAATTTAATGTAGAAAGTAACTTAAATACTCTTTTGATAGAATTAAAATTTACATTTTTGTGATTTTCAATTTTATTTAAAGATCCAGTAAGATCATCAAACTGACACAAACCATATAAAATAGTTGCATTCAGAACACAATATTTTGATTTCACATAGAAAAAATTAATCTAAGTGCTTAGTGATTTAATGTACGAAATATTACTTAATGACTTTTGATAATAAACTGACGTTATATTATCTTAATTATACATATTATAATAGGGAAATGGACTTGTGAAATGAAATTTCACATAAATGATTTTGTTATTTCTTGGTTATACAGATTATATTTAGTTACATCTTATACAATGTAAAACTGTTAGAATAATGATAAGAAAAGAATTTTATTAATTAATCATAATATTGGATTGATTCCATAGAATTCTTTAAAAGATAGAAGTTTTACATTTCGCTCTTCATTAAGAAATAAATTTCTGGAAGGAATTTCATATTGCTTGTCTGTTTTAAACTAATTACTTTTAAAATCTAATATATTTAAGGGCCTGATATATTTTATAAGAAATCTGGTAGTAACCTGCCTCTGAATGTATTGACCCACACAAAAATTTAGTCTTATTATTCATTTATAACTAGTTGGTAAGAATAATGTTTTTAATATTTTTGTTCAATTCTAATTCTTTTGGGTTTCAAACGTAAATAGTCTGGTTCTTCAACTTAAAAAGATTAAAGATCCTCTAAAATTACATTTAAAACTTTTTCTTTTTTAATTGAAGGATTTCTTACTTCAAGAAATAGGTGAAACTTTTGGTTTTGTTTTATTTTTAAAGAACTTAAATAATAAATATTTTCTTTTTTACAAAGGTTCACAAGAAGAGGAGTTGATCCAGCACCGCTGGCCGAACACGGCCTTGTCAGAGAACTACTCAACAGGCTTTCAAATGCTGCCGGTCCATCGCAGCCATCAGCTGTTCAGACAGGTACTACATGATAAATATTACGTTTTGTATGAATGGTAATTTTTTAATTTAAATTTATATATTTATTGTGCTAACTTGTCTTTGCTGTTATAATTATTTTTATTTTTCTCATTGTTAATAACTTTTTAAATAAAGACAATAAATAAGGGTGCTTGCTCAGAATTTTTATATACATATTGTAACATCCCTCTTATATTTTAAAATAATAATAATATAACCTCGGAAGATCACTTTATACTTTTGGGATACTTTGTTAAATAAATAAGAGGTTATTAAATAATGAACAAGATAATAAGAATATTCATATATTTATTTATCTCAGGTGTGGGTTACTGACAATCAGATCAACCTAGACAAACTATTATTATTTACACTATTTATACTAAAATTAAACACTGATTTTATAATAAAGTCAAGCATGGATTGGCAAGCTAACCTTTTTTCTATATATAGTATTTCTTCCTTTGTTGCACTGAATTCATTTGTCTTCTAATGCTTTCCAATGTTCTGCCAAACACAACTTCCAAAATGGTAATGCTGTTACTGGGTTTTACCCAGATCCCTTCTCCTATCCTCTCTTCACTACAGCCACACACCAACTGTTTGCTAAAACAAAAATCTTTGTCCCTCTCCTCTTTGGGATTTTCCTTCTTGGGAAACTACAGAGAAGCCATTTTCTTTTCCCTGCACTAGTAGAACTAGATTAGCTTGCCTTTTAACTGTTCAACATTAATTTATTAAATCATTTTTACCCACTCCCAATAAAGGTGTATATTACAATATATATCACATAACATGTTTTGATGATTGTTTTCATTTTTTTTTATTTTGGAGATTCATTACGCTACTATGTAATTAACTCTGAATTACTGTAAAAGGACCTTTAAAATTTTTACGAAGATTTTGAGAATAATAATTGCGTTACCATGATAGTTCTAGAATTTCAAAACCAATATTTCGATTTTTTTTTTCTCTTTCCGAAATAAGTTAATTTACATTAATTGCTTTTGGAAGAATCCGTTCACCTGATGATGATTTAGTACAGAAACTGTTAAAGAAAAAATTATCAAAATTGTAAATTGGCTTTTTAACATAAAACATATTTATGAGTTACTTAATTAAAATTTTTAGTTTCTTGTATTTTTTTTTTTTTTTTTTTTTTGTATTCTTCATATATCTTAGGTACACCAGCTCCAGTAAGCAGTTCCACAACCCCTGAAACAAAATCTTCAGCAAGTGTTTCTACAATTATTAGTCTTCTTTCCACGCTTTGTAGAGGTTCGCCCAGCATAACCCATGTAAGTTAAAAATAATATTATTTTTTCATGTTGTCAGCAGTATTGTAAATCATATTTCTGTAATTATTACTATAATAATTTTAATGTTTATAGAAATCATCAGTAATGTTATCTATTGATGTTGTTTATTTTAAGGATTTACTGAGGTCAGAGTTACCAGACGCTATTGAAAAGGCCTTAAAAGGAGATGAAAGGTTTAATTTACTTCTTTTTTATTTTTTAAAAATTATTGTATAATTTATTTTTTGTTTATATTTTAATTTATTTACAGGTGTTGCCTAGATACAATGAGATTAGTCGATCTCCTCTTAGTGCTCCTCTTTGAAGGACGTAAAGCTTTATCACCAGGCGGAGCGTCGGTCCATTCCCTTCCTCGGCTGAGAAGATTAGATTCGGCAGGAGAAAAGTCCCATCGTCAGCTTATAGATTGTATTCGTAGCAAGGATACAGATGCCCTAATTGATGCTATAGAAAATGGAGGTTTGTGTGGTGTATAATTAAACGTTATATAATTATTTATCAAAAAGAAAAAGGTTTTAATTTATTAGATATTTAATTTTAATTAGTTGTTTGACCCTTTTAAATTTTGAATAACCGTCGCTTGTCTCATCATCATGCTTTTTGTATTATTCACATCATCGTATCTTTTCATTGCAAATTGTAAAAAGTGATGATTATAAGATTTTTGTCTTAGATACACATAGTTTCTTACATTCCAGTGAGTGGTCTCCAAACTATGGCCTGGGGACCACTGTTTTAGTAAAATTTATTAAATCAAACATAACTTTTATTGCACCAGATTTTTCTCTTGAAAAGTTTATTTCATAACCTATTATTTTCCAGAGTGGGGAGGTTTTTATTAATTCTGTGGATCTGCGACAAAATAAATTTCAACTCACCCAGTTAAATGTTAAGAGAACCCTGCTGTACAGTATACAAATCTGTTCAGTGAAAATGTACCAATGAATAAAGAATTTGTTAATTGATAACAATTGTATCAGTAGAGTATTCAGGAATATTAGTAACAATCCTCTTTATTTTTTTACTCTTACTATTATAATCTAATTTAAAACATGTTCAAGCTGCTCACATAGTTAAACTATATGTGGCTGATAATTAAAGATTTTTTTTAGAATAAACGTTTTTCATAATAAGATCATTCTATTATAAATGGTTATTTATCGCTTCCTGCATTTAAATGTTTTGTGATGAATTAATTTAAGTATTTCAAGCATGGATTTGCTAGTAATATAAGTGACTAAGTTGGCAGATAAAACTTAAATATAAAAAAAAAATTAAGATATGCAAGAAAATAATATTAAAAAGCCTAAACAGATAATTGTGTCCTCAAAATAGTATGTTTTATAAATAATTAGTTAAGGTGAAAAAAAATAAAAATAAATTGAGATAAAATGCATAGATATACATTTAATTAAAAATATATTTTCATCTTAAGGAAACTAAAATTAGGCATGTAGCATTAATTTATTGGAATTGATAAAATAGAGGTTGGCTCAGTGAGAAAGGAACTGTACTCTTATCTTTTCCAAGATAGGATTCCTGCTGTGATGGATAATTATTATTCTTTTATATTAGCCTTGTATTGAACCTAGTGTCGGGAAAACCCTCCCAGGGCACACTCAGTCTTTATAAAACACTCAACTTGACCAAATAATCTCCTTACACAATCTTTGTTTTGATACAGAAAGAGAATCCATACCTGTTAATGAACCCAAGACCTGTCGTACATTGTGGTGAAGGATTTTTTTCTATGTCTCATTGAGTAGTTTAAAACTTTTTTAAAATTTTTCTATTCAAATTTCTTTTTTCTTTCAAATTTGAATCTATCTTAATGATAATTAACTTTATTTTTAGATATAATATAACACAAAATAAAAAAATGTTTTTATACAAATATTCTAATACAGATAATTTAACAATAAATGAACTGATGAATTGGGTAAGTACTCTGGTAGCTGGTTATTTTTAAAATAAAAACATTGCAGTAAAATTCAGTCTTAGATTGTAATTTTTTTTTCTCGGAATCGCTAGTTAAATTTTGTATTTTTTTTATCTGATCTTCACATTTTAATTATTTATCCATTTCCTTAAACTATGTTTAGTTTAGATTGTTAAAAATTGGTTTCTCTATCAATCATTCTCTTCTTTGGTTTTAGATTTTTTAGTGATTTCCCTTATTTAGATTATATTTATTAAACTTAATAAGTTGATTACAATAAAATTATTAATTAGGTTTATTAGTCTCACTATGTATTTTCATTCTTTAAGGACTTTTATTGCTATTGTATTATCTATTAATGAAAAAAAAATTATCAACTTTAATACTTAACCTGGTTAATGTTTCATTTTTCCGTCCAATTGCCATCCTTACCTTATTTGCTATTTTATTTGCAATATGTACATTTTGTTTTATTTTATCATCCAGACTTATCCTAGTTTTTGTGGTATTATAGTATAAACATTTGTTTCTTAATCATAGTGATTTGTATTTACTATTTTGTTCATTTTTATATTTGTTTATATACATTTTATTATTATTGTATATCTACTCTTTTATTTTATTTTTTTATTCCTTTTCCTATTCATCTGCTTTTTAATATTTCAATTTCAATTTAGGTATAGAGGTTAACTTTATGGATGATGTAGGACAAACCCTCTTGAATTGGGCCTCGGCATTTGGTACTCAAGAAATGGTAGAATTCCTTTGTGAAAGGGGCGCAGATGTTAACAAAGGTTTTTATTTTTTATTTGGTTTGTTACTTTAATCGTATAATATTAGTTTGTACGTCTCCATATTTACGAAAATGATTCTCAGCAGTATTGTAACAATTTCAATTTGTTTTATAGGTCAGAGGTCTTCTTCCCTGCATTACGCAGCATGCTTTGGCCGGCCGGCTATAGCTAAAGTACTATTGCAACACGGAGCCAATCCTGATCTAAGGGATGAAGATGGGAAAACTCCTCTCGATAAAGCCAGAGAACGAGTAGATGTCGGCCATAGAGAAGTCCAGGCAATTCTCCAGTCCCCCGGTAAATACAAATAGATTATCAAATAAACAAGGAGAAAAATAAAATAAAAGTTAATATATTATCGGAAGATTCTAAAAACAAATCCTTAGTTCACACAAATTCCACTAATTGGTCAACTTTTATGTGTTCAGGAATCCTCAGGGCGGAAAAAATAATCAATAGCCTATTCTGATAAATTGTAAATTATTTATCCATCTCTAATTTATTTCTAGATAAATCAGATTCGAACCATACCTGTGATTTATTTATTTATACTTTATTTGTAGTATGGTCTATACTTGTCCGATCCGAGAAAGAAAGAAAGATGAAAGAAAAAAAACTGGTCTTGTTGTTTTTATATTTATTCTCTTCTAAGTTTGACGAACTTAATACAATACTTTGGCGACATTTCTATGACATCTAAACCATGAAAAAATAATTGTCTTCTTTGATAATGTTCTTTCACTTCTGCTTGGACCTCTTTGTCGATGTTAAATCTGCTCCCATGAAAATCAGATTTTAACTTTGAAAAAAGGTAGAAGTTGCTAGGGTTCCTCCAGTCTTGGCTATAGTTGAGAGATTGCTTGGAATCTGCAGTCCTTCACCGCAGTCTTTGTAATCAATGTTGGGTACTTCTTCACTAGCAGGTCGGGACTGACTGCTATCTGCCAATGTTTATAACCTGAACACTGATAATTCTGATAAGGCAGTGATAAGCCTTCTCGTAATTCCTATCTTTGTATTATTGTATTATATTCGTATTATTGAAAGTGTAAACAGAAACAAAAACTAAAAAAAAAAAATAAATAAAATAAAAAAATACTTTTATTTTACGACACATATATTAATGAAATAATAAAAGAACACTTAAAGAAGATATGTACATATAAAAGATGAAAATGAAATAATAAAAATTTCACGTCTGCAAATATCCCAACGTTTTGAGTATATTCAATAGCCTGTTCTTCTGAAGATGGTAACAAGATTCATAATTTGACGAAAACAAACTTAAAAAAAAATGAAAAATAAACACAAACTGGCCAAAAATAAAGAATTTAAGTGAACGTAATAAGGGAATAGCAGAAAAATGAACAATGTAATAACTGAACGGTTTGGCGGGATAAGAAGAGGGAGGTTATGTGACGTGACGTTAGATAACATTGATAAGAAGTGAGGTTTCGACCCAGCCTGCTAGTGAAGTAGGACCCAATGTTGTATAGATTGAGAATTGTTGTCATGAAAAATTTGAACTCCTTTGTTTAACTTTCTCCGCATTTTCCTTTGTGTCGCAGTGAAATAGGACTGCACAATATTTACCATTCACTGTGATGTTCCTTTCTTTAAAATCATGGTTATCCTCAGAACACTTTTGAAAGCCCCAACCTTGCTGCTATTTATTTGGTCTTCAGTCGCTGATCAGACAGCTTCCAATGGATGACTGGAAGGTGGGTCGTCTTCCTTGGGTTCTCTTACTAACTTTTTTGCTAATTTTTTGCCTAAAATTTTGGTCATTATTTTACTATGGAATGTGTGGAAGAGGACTGCCCATAAAAAATATCTAAGCGACCTTAAATTTTTGCAGGAGTAAGGCCCTCTTTCCAAAGGAATTTAATATTGTATTTGATCTTGAACATTGTAGAAATGTAAAAATTCTTTCAAGAATAGACAAGGCTGAGGAAATGCAGGCAATGGATATGGAAATAGCATGTTATATTAAAGTTAAGAAAGTAGGGCAGGCCAAAAACTTATGTACCATACTGCGTATGTTGAAAAAATAGACTATTGTACTGTATTATTTTTATAAATCATGTATAATTTTAGTGTGCACTTGCAGTAATACTAAAGATTTAATATTTAATATTAAATTAATATTTAATATTTTTATAAATCATGTATAATTTTAGTGTGCACTTGCAGGAATATTAAAGATTTAATATTGTAGATTTGTAGTGACATCATAAATTAAATTTGTAGTTAATTTTTCTTTTTTTTTTTTTTAAGGTGAATGGATGATGGGCGCAGAGAATCGTGGGGAAAATGATGAACCTCGTGGTGATCCTGATATGGCTCCACTTTATTTGAGAAGACTCCTGCCCGTTTTATGCAATACCTTCCAGGCAACAATGCTTCCTTCTGTTAGGTAAATATATCCAATATTATATCATATTTTTCTAATTAAATTTTGTTATTTGTTAATAAATTAGATTGCAAATAATAATTCAGTTTTGGTAGCCTAATATGGCAGCTTTCAAATATTGATTGGTATAATAAAAAACAAAACAAAAACTATTTTTTTATGATATTTTTATCCGATTCAATTCCAAAAAATTATCATTTCAAATCACTATTAAATTCAAGCATCTATAATTTCACATATTCTTATAAAACCGGGCCCTTCTTCATGGAGCACCAGTACTATACAAATTTTGGCCTCAACGCCGTATATAAGCTCTGCAGTTTCAGTACAGAGTGCTCAAACGTATTGAGATACACACTTCATTACAGAGGACAAAAGTAGGCTAACTCCACAAAATCTTAAAACTACAGACTGTAGCAGATTTTGTAAAAAAATGCAGACATATCAACTTTTTTGATAACCTGAAGTACGTGACTAATCTTTTTTTGTCACTAACTCCAATGGGACGGCCGCAGAGGTGTTAAACATGTACAACAAGCTTCAAACTTGACTGGACTGAGGACTAACGACAAATTGTACTTTTATTTTTCTTTTCTCCACTAAGTTGCCTTTTCAGCTGTCTGGTTGTTTTCTTGGGTCTATTGAGAGCGGGGAATTAATGCCTGAGTTAAATGCCTTAGGGACCAGGATTTTAACTCGTAATCTTCAGGTTGCCAGGGAACACTTGTATTGCAAATGCATTATCATGCTCAGCCACCCATCCCTCTCTGACTTGACAACTAGTGAGTCGAAATATAGAATATTGATTAATCACATATCAATTTTCATCTTTTTCAATACCTCATAAGTCCCCCACTAACATACCACTGAGCCCTAAAAAAAAAAAAATAAAATAAAAATAGGTCAACGGTTGTGCAAGGAGGTGATTTGGATCGCGCTCAGCCGTCAGGTTTTCCCCTTAATTAATTATTTAATTCCCCTTAATATTTTCAACAGCTCGAGGCAATTCCGGAATGAAACTACACAAGGCCATTTAAATTTACCAGATCTTCTCGAATCGTCTTAACTGAAGGCGGAAAAACTGATAGGACCTCTCTAGTGTGAGGTCACACACACTCACACAAAGTATACAAGTCGAGAATAAAAAATATACACATTTTATTATTAGCTAAAATATTTTAGACGTGTTTTCTCGAATAAACGGTCTGGTTTAAACTTCTTTAATCTATTAAGAACAAATTTACAATTCATATACCTGTACCACTACAAGGGTCTTGAAGGGTCTTGGGTTCAGTACTACTTAGGGAAAGTACTGTTTCTAGGTCAACGGTTGTGTACAAGGAGGTGATTTGACCGAGATCACACTCAACTGCCAGGTTTCCCCCATTAATTAATTATTTAATTAAGGGTACCCACTTTATAGAGGCTGGGTGTGCCCCAGGAGGGACTCCCGACCTAGGGTCGCCCTACGGTCACTGAAACAGATAAATAAAGTTCCTGCCATGAGCCGGGGTTCAAACCTGAGACCTTTTGCATTGGATGCTCAGTGCCCTACCAATGAACTACCCCACTCCCTCCATTGAGCCTTAAGAAAAATAAAAAATAAATTCTCATATTTTAATTGTTGACTATTTATGTGTGTATGTCTCGTTCTGCACTTCGACCATCCATAACCCAGAGCACATGTAATCTTTCTGGCTTATATACTGTTGCAATTTTTTTTTTTAGGAAGTCTAGTTTGAACCTTATTAAGAAGATGGTACACTACATCCACCCTTCGTTGCTTATCGAGGCCTGTAGTCCCGAATCATCAACTTACAATCTGGGTACGATGCTGGTTGAAGTTATCGCTACAGTACTCGATAACGAAGTGAGTATAAATAAAATTAAAATGCCTTATTTTATTTTTGAATTTATATCGAGATTAAATGCTAATTGGTTATTATCTTTAACCAAGTAGGAGTTGAATCCATTAATTTTTTTTTTTTTTTTTTAATTTAAAATCACATGATGTATATAAGTTGATTGAAGCGTGCTCTGTTTTAAAAAGAAAGTGAAGAAGAAAATTTTAAAAATGATTTCTGAAGCTATGTAAACGTAGTAGTTTAATGTGTAGTAAACCTTGCTAGTTTGGTAGTGTGTAGTTTTGAAAATTGATTGCATTTTCTTTAGAGAGGAACTGCTTTTCCAGAGTTGTTACAGTTGGCCTATAATAAAGCCATTTACCGAGAGGTATTCTTGGTTACCAAAGTTATGCCGCAACCTGACTGGAGGGCCGATGGGCCTAGACTCTGATGACAAGTTCATTGTTCGTAGAACGGTAAAGAATAATATATACCTGACAATCACCACTCCCTTTGGTTTTACTTCTGATTTAATTGTTTGTTTGTTTTTTATTTTTTTGTTGTTTTTTATTTTTTTAGACAATCCGTTTGTGGATTACTAATCTTTGCATACTAATTTAGTCAACTTTTGTAAGGGTTGGATATATTTAAAAAGTCGGACATTGAATGATTGAAAAAAGAATTTTCAAGAGACTCATCTTAATGAATTTTTTATTTTTTTAAAAAAGTTTTAAGTCTATCCGATCTAGTTTAATATGTTCAATGAAACCCTTTGGATATTTTATTACTGTTCAAATTTTATAAATTCTATATCAAAAGTGATTTAACAGAGCACGCTTTCTTTTTTCTTTAAATTAATAACTATAATATTAATTAAAATTCTTAGGAGATTCGTCTTAACGAAACATTCATTATACTAATTTTTTTTAGCCTTTCTCAACTGGTGTAAAATTATGAAATAATTCTTTTATATGTTCTACTGTTGAATTTTTAAACTTTTTTTTATACACCATCATGTTATACTTTAATTGTTTTGTTTTTTTGAAGTAAAATTACAGAGCACGCTTTAATGAAAACAAATAGATAAAAAAAAAGTATAGTGAATTTCATAATCCCAAAAAATTGCATTTCATAACCGATACACTCCCTTGTTGTAGTGTGCATTGCATGGTAAATAAACAGCTTGACAAAAGTTTTGATTAACCGAATTCTTATTAAAATTTTCATCTTTATGTAATTTAGATTATTTAAATTTCGGAAGAAGAGAGTTGTAACCATATATTGATATAACCTTATATACAATATAATCTTATATTGTTATAAAATATGTATAATATGATACAAAAATTCATTGATTTTTTGTTTCAACTTAATTTTAAAATAAGAAACAATACTTTGTTGAGCAGTTTATTTTTTAATATTAATTGCATGTATTTGAGTTAGTTAATTTTTATTTTTATTGATGTATTGTTGGTTTTTTTTTTCAATAGTTATGTGCTTATATACCGTTGTTGGTTTTCCATTTAAATATTTAACATAGACAAAAAGTGAACTATACTAGTATGTTAACGTCATGCAAGTCATGTTTTAGGTTTCACAATTTATCCATAAATGAGTCTAAAGCTATAATAATAACAGTATGTAGTTAATGCTTCGTTTTTGTAAATTGTTAACATTTATATAACTTTGAAACGATCACAGCTGTATAGTGTTCCGCCTGATCATCTTATTGGTGAGGGATTAGGATGAAGCAGGAATGTTTTCCACTTGAGGTCATTAATACTTTAAATATAAATATTTGTGTATGCATGTTTTTGTGTGTATTATTCAAGATGATGCATTAGTAATAATTAATCTTATTGGAAATAAACATGTTTAGCTTATTACATATATTTATGTAAATATCATTGACATTATTATTATAGCTTTGGTTAATTTTGTTACAAATTGTAAAATTGAAATTAAGAACGAGTGATATTCATATCATAACAACCTTGCGCCATATCCTTACATCTTGATAAAACCCTGTTCAGATATAAAAAAAAAAAAAAAATGAAAATAAGCAATCAGCAGAAATTATTTTATTTACTTCAAAAACAATGCATGTCAAAAATGTTGTGTTGTAATTAAGGGCTACTTCCTTTATTCATTTTTCAGAAGGTGTGTAACCCTCTATAATTATAGTTAAAAAAGTTCTGACTTTTTGGACATTTTTTATTTTTTTACATTATTTAATTTTTGTGATTGACCATCAGATCTCCCCCTTTCCCAATAAAGTCAACATTTTAAATGTAAAAGTAGTAAATATATTTTGAAATAAATATAATATAACATAAGCTCATTTCATGTAATGTATTAAGGTCAAAACTGTTACACATATTGTAGACCTGATCTCAAAATAAAATTTTGCTAGAAATTTCCTGCCCCCCTCCCAATTGTACTGCCCAGGGCACTCTTAGCTCCTCCCACTTTTTTTTTTTTTTTTTTTTTTGTGTAGGAGTGAGGCGTTAATTGATATCAGTTATTAAATATATGATGGTTAATGTTTTATGAATCATATATTTTTCATTTTAAAACTTGTTAAAATACATGCTTAAACATTGGCGGATTTATTAAAATAAACAAGTTAATTGCTACTTTTTTGTCCTATAATAAGATGGAGCACCTGTTAAACTAAAAAATCCTGTTATTCTATTACTATTCTAGCTGGATATCTTTATTATATTTATATTGTTATTAATTTATAATTTATTAATTCAGTAACATCAGTAATTATGAATAATTGATGATATGTGATTTTTTTTTTTTTTTTTCGCCATCATAATAAGGACGACGAGGATGGACATTTAGTTGTACTACAAATAATTGAAGATCTGATGACAAAGGCTCGTGATATATTTTTGGATCATTTCGCTCGGTTAGGAGTCTTCTGTAAAGTTGCCCAGATTGCAGCGGTGACGTCTTCAACGCCAGAGCCATTGATAAAAGCCCAGGATAACGTAAGTATTATTTGTATATGTTTTGTTTAGTCTGATTATTGGTATAAATTTTACATGGTCTGAATGTAGTATAGTGTTGAAGGTAAAACAAAAAATTTGAAAAAAAAAAAAAAAAAGGCTGCAAATTATTTCACAATGGTTTATTATTTCCAAACAATTATACATCTAAAGTAACATTACCTTCCTAGTTACAAAGAAAAATAAATAAAAGATGATTCCAGTTATTGGACTAAACTTTCTTTTTTTTAATCATTAGTAATATGTTAAAAAAAAATACCATTACTTCAGCAACACATTCAAAATTAAAAAAACAAACAAAAGATATAACATTTGGAGTATAACATATAAAAAAGAACTGAAGACCATATCTTTGCTCCTAATTGTCCGATTTTAAAGATTTTTTTTTTGTTTTTTAGGAAATTCCATAAACTTTTAAAAAACAATATCTACAAAAAAGTGTAAACTTTTTGAGTTATTCAGAATTTAATTTTACCATCCCTCATAACATTTTTTCCAGCTTCTTTTCGTTGCAGTATGTTATATAGATAAATTTAAAGAGCATCGGGAAAATGGCTTTGGCGAAGTTTCATTGAAATCGGTACATTCGTTTAGGAGCTACAGTCTATAGCAAGGCAGGTTTTTCAGCCGCCATTTTGAAAGTAAAAGGCGGATAGTAATGTCGATGAAGGAGGATCATCCTCGAGTGATCACTGATTTTATATCCAAATTTGAAAAAAATCGGTTCCAGTAGTTTCAGAGAAAATGGGTGGACGGTGGATGGACCAAAAAGTTTTTGTTCGTATTTCGAATTCTACGCATCCTTAAACGTGAACCTCAAATTTTGAGAGGGGGTTAAGTTTTTGAATTTTTTGGTCGATCACAATGGTTGATTATTGAAAATAATAAACCAAAAAGTCGCCTTTCCTAAGGTGAAATCAATAGAGAAATGATTATCTATAGGTCATTTGTGTAACTAAAAAATGGCAATATGATTTCATTGATTTTTTGAAGCCTTGAGGATCTTTGGTTTGATTTCATTTATGTTTTGAAAGCCTTAAGAAGCTAATGGAGCAGAGTAGTCAGTGAGTTATGCACAAGGATTCTGAGCTCTAGGTCCCGGCTTCGAATCCGGCTGATGACAAGTAATGTTTCATCAGCTGTGGATTGACCCTGGGGTCAGTAGATCCCCTGGAGCACACCTAGCCTCTATAAAGTGGGTACTCTTAATTAAATAATGAATTAAGAGAAAAAACCTGGTGATTGAGTGTGATCCTGGGCCGACCACCTTCCTGCACAACCGTTGGCTTTGAAAAAGTACTTGATAACAAAGTACTGACCCCTCATGGGTTGTGACGGTACAGTTTTTTTTTTTTTAGGGAACTTTGAACTTTATTTTCTCTTCCTTATGAATTTTCTTCATATTCAAGGTTTTTGGCTTAGAACCGATGATCTAAATTTATACATATTTACATACTGTATACATAGAACATAATTATATTTAAATCGGTGCTAAATGAATAATTGATATACTTGTTCTATGCCAGAAACACTGCAAAATTTAAGTAATTTACGAAGTATAGTAAGTACTCAGTTATAAGTCCATTAACTAAAGAAATATCTTTTAGGAATCAGATGCTAGTCCGGCAGGAGAAGATGCCAAAGAAATACTTCCTGGTAAGGCCTATCATTGGAAAGAATGGTGTCTCTGTCGAGGAAGAGATTGCCTTTATATCTGGTCAGATGCTGCAGCGTTAGAGCTCTCGAATGGTTCCAATGGATGGTTCCGTTTCATACTCGACGGAAAACTAGCTACTATGTATTCGTCAGGAAGTCCCGAGGGAGGTGCGGATTCTACAGGTAATTCAGTCTCTTGTATTATTATAGTCGAAATGCACGGTATTATTAATAATAAGCATGTTTAGAAAATTGCTTTAAAACAATATTTTACTATTAATTCCTGCAGCTGTATTAAACACAAACTCGATTTAGTATTACCCCCTATGAGATAAAAATATTATTATTTTATTTTTTTTTTTATGGAATATTCAGATATTGTGTATGTTCTTAATTTGAAAAGTTTAATTTGGCCATAACAACTATATTGAAGTTTATTAATGTGTTGTGAAAATGAACTTTCCTACATTGAAAAGTTATTTCTGAAATTCCTCTTTCAAAATACTTTTCTGAAAAAAGTATTTTATTCTTTTTCTCTTTCTCTCCCGATCTCTTATTTTACTACAGATTTGTTGCTTGTGCAGTTACTGTAGTTTTAATTTTATATTTGATTATGTGCATTGTTACACTTAGTTCATACAGTTTCCCCCTGACACTGAGCATGTTATGTCTGGACATTTTCTATGTCAATATCAAAGGGATGTATTTATTGTGCTCATTTGCAGGTTTCGATCTGATAATTACTATTGTTTACAAATGAAGGTAAGTTTGAGTGAAAAGAAAGATTTTTTATTTTGGAGAATAATGACTTTGTAATTGTAATTCACTATTTTGGGTCTAGTTTATCACTATCTGAACATTAACCAGATATATATTAAAAGATTTTTGAGTGTTCTGAGACAATTGAGTTCTGAGTGTATGTATATTACCATCATAGCATGTTTATTTTATTTTTTAAAATATTCTATTTAATGAATGTGGAATAAGCACTGTGAGTGATCCATTTTTTTCGTTTTGTCACTTAATTTTGGGTGTTAATATGTGAATCAAATGAATTTGGTCATCGCGAACTCATCGTAGTATGAAATAATTTAATATTCTAAATTGAAAAAATTATATCTTAAGTAAAAACTCAAAAATTTGTATTCTTAAAAAACTCTTATTTGATATTTGTGAGTTACTGCCATTTCTAGCTTTAATGAAATAATTTCTTTTCATCTATCACTTACAAGGAAAATCATTTAAATGAAAGACCATATGGAAAAAACACGATAGTTCAATCTAGTCTATTTTGAGAAAAATAAAATTTAATCCTCTTCAGATCACGATTTTAGATTCAGATCCAAATGGAAACCACTACTTTACAATTTTTTTAATTTTTTTAAATTTATATTAAATTAAAGAGCAGTTAATACTTTCATTTGGTTTAGTATAGTATCCTGTTTTTATATTAGATGTATTTTTTATAACTACTCTATAACGTAAGAGAAAAAAAAAAAAATTGGAGGTAGAGGTATCCATTGCGACACCGTGCCCTGAAAAGGTCACCTTGATGCATTTTCCAAAAGTGAAAATTAGTTTCACACTAATGATGAAAGATTAGCCTAATGTTTTAGGTATCATGCGATTCAGCATGAACAAAGGTGTAAAGATCAATGATCAATCGTTACAAATCTCATATTGTTTGTCTTATACAAAATTTTATCCTCAAAATGAGGTTTTTGTTCCACTGTGTGAATGTTTCTACCACAGAAATGGACTACTAAAAATCTTTCCTGAATTTTATATGGATCATATTTTTTTTTTTCTGATTGTATTGTGTACGAAAAGGAAATACACTTCCTCTAGTATCAGATTGCAGCACCTGTTTAAAATCAACAAAAAGTGGACCCTCCTGGCTTTTTATGTATAATAATCAGTTCAAAATTGAAGAAAAAAAAATTGGCCACATATATAATTTTTTACTCCTTGTACGCCTTTTCAAATGTTTTTTAAAACTGACAGAATTATCAAATCGATGAATTTTTTAGTTGTCTATGAATCAAGTACGTTTAATAATATTTACATTATAAATAAAACTCGACTGTGGTAGGTTAATAAATACTATTACTTAACAATATTATCACTAACGTAATATTGAAAAAAAAAAAATGATGTGTCTAAATACAGTATCGGATCTGCCATTTTAAATTTATTACTAAGATTAATTTCCAGGAACTGCCTAACCAGTTTTATTTTTATCTTCTTTTTTTCAGCTTATTTTACATTTAAGGGATTTTATTTCATACTCTAGAGCAAACCTCTGTTGATAAAATTAATAAAAAATATATGACAGATGTTTATAGTTCTACTAATATGCAAAGTTTCATTAAAAATTATCACTGACCCCCTTCCTTCCATAAATTTACTCCGCATTCAAATACACTTTTTTTGTGTTGTATTTCATTTTTAGTTTAATTTTAAAACAGAACTTGTTGATAAATAATCTTTAAAATAAAAAATTACCTTATGCCAAGTTCAAATTATTTTTATTTTAGTGAAACTTTGTCTAGTTTGTGAAGCATGATGTTCATTAATGACATTCATATTCATTCATTTCATTTATAATATAATAATTTATCATTCATGAATGAAATGCCTGACTAATTCGACCATTGTTTTCCATTTAATAGGCAAGAGCAGGAACAGTGAATCCCTTACTACTGAAGGTAAGGTTCAATACGAGCTATTAACAGTTTAATAATTTGCTAATTAACATAATTCCTAATAAATTTTATTTATCTCTTCTATACTACATTATATTTATGTAAATATATTTTATTGATTCTGTGTGTACAAAAGTGTTTAAATAAAATTTTGAACAAACATAAGAACCCTTCAAAAAATTATGCTTAGCTATTTAATTTTATCTACTTATTTTTAATGAATAAGTAAATAATTAATAATAATTTTTTTAAAATCTGTATTGGGTATATTCTTATGTTTTTTTTAGACAGTTTTAATGAATAAAAACAACACAATTTATTATTTATTGTTATGAATAACTTACAGTTTTAATTATTTTAAATTATAATTCTTATCAGCCAGAGGCTTCATTGTTTACTGAAATACAATCATGCTTGATTACTTTACAATAAATTTAAAATAAATTCATACACCTATAAAACACTCGTTGACAAGATATAACCTTAATATTGATATGCACAATCAGAGTGGTGACTGACCTGAAAAATGGGAAAAGTCAGGGTATTTCTTTAGTAGGTCTGTTTTTATTTTTTTCAAATTTGAAATAAATATATAGATATGATTTATAATGACCTTGAAGGAGCAAACTTCATTATATATAAAGGTTATAGACGACCACAATAGCTATATTCATCCACCTTTGATTGTCAATAACCAATAATAAGTTATATTGAAATCAAACAAGGGTAATGAATGCAATTTAAACAAAATGGACTTAAAACAGTATTTTTTTTTTTTTTTAAAGAAAAACATACCAATACTATTTACTATTTGTAATATACACATCTGAGTCAAGATCTGGCGGGCAAGCACTCGTTCGTTTGACCTGTGGTGCTCCTTTAAAGAGCATTTATTAACCAGAAATTGCACAGTTGGTATAATATGGATACTTATTAGGCCGTTTTATAATAATAATAAAGAAACTAAATTATTTAAGAGAAAATAGATTAATATTAGAATCCTCTGTATCTCACTTTATTTTATAATAGAGAAAATTAGAGCTTTGTGTGTCAAGCATCAACTTTTACCTCCCCTCAGTTTATAAAAATAAAATAAAAGCGATAAAAATAAATTACTGACTGTTTTATTTGTTGTACTGTTGTAATTAAAATAAAAAATCCTAATCAAGCTTAAAAAAATACTTCCTCTAAAACACTCTATTTGTTATTTAAAAGACTGATTTTTTTTTTTTGTTTTTACTCATATCATTTTATAGTCAATTTCCTTTCATGTGTAATAAATAAATTTAGTTATAAATTATACGTTTTTAATATTTATGTTCCCAGACATATTGGTCAGGAAAAATTATCATTAGATAGGAAAATGTCAGGGAATTTTACTTTGTTTGGTAGCCACTCTGACAATTAACTGGACAAGTTCTTAAACTCATCACTGATCTGAGGAACTTAGACACCTAGTTCATTAAGGTGCTGATTTAGAATTGACACTTCACTCACTAAACATGAATTAACCCCAAACTGAATTCAACTAAGTGAATAAAAACCCCTTTCTTATATACAGTTATGGAATTCTTGTACAGTTCTTGAAGGTTATAGAACATTCTTATTCAGTTGAATATATGCTGTTTTGATAAGTTTTAATGTATGAAATCAATGTAGTATTAAATTTGATAAAAATTACATAATCACTAATGTTATAATATTACAATTCTTAAAATTAAGTAAATTGCTATTATTACTTAAGAACAAATTTTTCCATTATAGAAAATAGGGGCGAGTTTTTAGAGAAGCTTCAGAGGGCTCGTAGCCAAGTGAAACCCAATACATGTTCCACTCCGATACTTACAAAACCGGGACCAACAAGAATTGTTGTCGGAAATTGGTCTTTGTCCTCCAGAAAAGAATCAGAACTTCATATACACAATTCAGATGGGCAGCAGGTATTGATTTTCTTCATGCATTATAAAAAAGTAGCTTGTAATTTTTTTTTTATTATTTTTATTCAGAGCAGTTTTATGAATCTCGTGCCTATAGAAAAACTTTTTACATGGCTAAAATGTCATTACGAATTGTAAAAAGTAAAAAAATATCCTGTCTTTTAATAAATTTAATTAGATTAAATAAAATAATTCTATTTAAGATGATATCTTTGTCATGAGATTTTTATGTTCTGGCCTGAAACAAATTGAAAAAAAATCACTTAGAAACTTAAATATTAATTACAGTTGGCATTTATTAACTTTATAAAATTTACATTACATTGGTAAAAGAAACTAAATATAACTTTCTTTTTTTTATAGCAAGCAACAATACTCCGTGAGGATTTAGCAGGTTTTGTTTTTGAGTCAAATCGTGGAACTAAACATTCGTTTACTGCCGAAACTGCCCTGGGTACGGAGTTTGCAGCTGGATGGTCAGGAAAAAGAGGAAAACGACTTCGTTCAAAAATGGAAGCGCTTAGGCATAAGGTTTGTGTGTTTGTCAATTTTTTTTTTTTACAATTATATCTATTATTATTTAATCTTATTATTATAAAATAGATTTTGAGTATAAATATATTTTTAAAAGTTATTATTAAATGAAGGAGAACTTCGTTACCCTCTCTCGTGGTAGGTGGTACCCTCCTACCACGGGATAGGGGGGGGGTAAACCTTCATTAAAGGCTTCTGAGACCTTAGGTCCAAAAATTGTTCTATAGGCTGATAGTCTTCCTGGATCAGGCATAGGCTATCTGGTTTGGTGGTCGGGGCCTCTTTGTGGTACGCCAGTTATGGACGTAGTGGTTCTATGTAAGTTGCACTTCAGTAGTACGATCCCAGTTCTCTGGTTAAATACTACTGAGGGGCAGAAGCTAGAATAGCGGGTTTAGTGCTTTCCAGGGATGTCTCCATGTGATAGTATTCTCACCTATTTGTCATGGTGGGAATGGATAGGGAAGAGTTGGTTCAGGCCTTACGACTAGGTATTACTCCTATTTCATATTTCTGAGCGGAGTACACAGTGTTCCCTTCTAGAACTCTAAAGAGTAGAGGAGCTCTGTATTTGTATCTGGTGTTTGCTGTTAACGGTGAGGGCAATTAGTTTTAGATGCTGCGTACAGATTTGCAGTACTTGTAAGTTCGGAAGATATAATTTTTCCTCTTATTTGTTAATTCCTTCTGAAGTACATATCATGATGTTAAAATTAAATAAAAAGTGTTAACTCTAAATGTATTATTACAAAACAAAATTAAATAAATAAATTAATTCCCATTCTATAATTCAATATAAAATTGCGATACGAGCTTAAGAACCAACAAATCAAATTCTTTGTTTTATTTGTATGAATAATAATTTCAAAATTAAATTATATTTCAAAGGATAATGTAGTTCATCTACTTGAACTTTGAAGGAAGGCTTATAATTTCTCAAGAATTAAAAACTATTTCTTAACATTCATCAGCTTTTGGTTCTCAAATCCTCTAGAAATACTGGAACACCAAGGATGGCTCTCTGCTCTCTATGGGCTGGATAGGATAGAAAATTAAATAGTGAGGAGTGTTGCTCACATAATCATTGATTAGGGAGTGGATGAGTGCACCTGTGTTCTTTCCATAATTAATGGACTGACAAATAAAAACATTGAAAAATGAAATCGAAAAATACATTTTGCCCATTGTTTTATTTTTTTTTAAAATTTAATTTTATTTATTTCTTGCTTTATATTTACCTCTGATAAAGCTTTCTAAGTGGGCTGTGAAACATCTAGGAACAATTAAATACATATCTGTAGGACATAATTTCATTTGATTTGTTCTTAGATAATTGGTTGTTTAATTAATATATTTTATTTATTCATATTAAATTTTCATTATAAATCCAATTATCTGTTTGTTTGTTTTAAGGTGAAGACACAAGCACAGGAAATTTACGACAAATATTTTAGAGCTGCCCAAGCACAGCCAAGAAGTGTAGTTGCAAAACTTGGTGCTATCGTTGCACAGTTAGAAAGAGCAGTTGAAAAGCAGGTAATTATTTTTAAAAAAATATATATATGTATATATATATATATGTAAGCTATGATACTGAATATAACAGCTTTCAAATATTTCAATAACTACAAGCACATTTTCATAGGAATTAAAACTGAAATTTAGGATGGATTTTAATGACCATCCCAAGTATTATTTTGGTAATAAGTGTAGTTTAGTAGCTTATAGGATGTGCCTTTTAAATTTCAAAGTTATCTACAGTTATGTTTTGCATGCTTATCTATTGAAATATATTTCTTTCTTTTTTTTTTTTTTTTTTTAACTTGTGAAAATCTTTCCAATTTTAAAATTTATTTATAATTTTTCAGATGTGGTCTGTTGGTTCCCACAATAGAGACATCGCCTTGGCTGACGCTATAACTAATTTAAGTGAAGTGTTGGAACAACAAGTTTCAGCTTACGAAGTACAAAGCAGCGGGCTGGTTCAAGCGCTACTTTCCCTATTTACCAATTATAAATATACTGTTAACCTATTTAAGGTATTTACAATATTAGTTTAAATCTTCTAACTCAAGTTGTTTATTTTAATTAAATTATTGAAGTTATATTCTACTCATCTTTTTATAGAGTAAAGTTCAAGATGGAGGAAACCAAAGAGCGGCTGTGATTTTAGTTCATAAATTAGTATCGGTCTTAGAATCTATAGAAAAACTGCCTCTATATCAATATGAATCGCCAGGATCATGCTTCGGCCTTCAGGTATTAATTATATAATTATAAAACATTTATTATACTATTGTTGCCATTGTTAAAAGTTGTAATATCAATTAAGAAATTTAAAAAAATATTGATGAAGTTGAAAGATTTCTGGATATGTGAATTATGAATTGGAAAAATAAAAATTTATCTGGTGCGTGAATATGAAAATGAGGATATTATGGAACCAGAATTTTCGTTTAGCAAATATACATTCATTGCAAAAAAATGTTAAAAGATATTTTATTAAAATTATTGTCTATTGCTAGATACACATTTTTCCCCTCTCCTTGGCAATTTATGAATTCCATGCCAGAAAACCTTTTTTTTCTTTTCTTCTACCCTTCCTCGCCTTTTAAGACTATTCAGGATTTCTCCGGGTCAAGGGAATTATGCTAAAGTTAAAAGTCCCTCCGACACCGGATTTTGAACTTGTAATCTTCAGTTTATGATCTGGTTGCATATTTTACACACGCATTTGCCCGCTATTCTGCCCCATTTTATTCATCAATCATGTTCATATATTTTAATGAGTTAAGCATGTGTTCCCTATCAATGCAAATAAATAGTATTACTAACCAATTCTGGTGAGTAAGTCACATGCGTTAATATTTCCAAACTAAATGCCTCAATGGTTTCCTTAACTGGTTTTAGTGTGTGTGTGATGGTTCATTATCATGAAGCAAAATCATTGTGTGTTGCCTTTTTTAATATTCTGGTAGTTTTTCACGCAGTACTCAATTCAAATCGAACATTTGTTGTGTTCAATATTAACGGTTTTAGCAGCTCACAATAGATCAGACCAATTTTTCACATTATTCATTTCTTATGTCGCAATCGTCAATTTTGAATTTTTTTAAACCATTCATAGCACTGTAATTTAACAGGATCATGCTCCAGGATAATGTTTGACAAGCATTCGGTTCGATTCTGTAGTACTTTTCTTTAAGAGGTAACTGTGTATCCAATGCTGCTGTCTACTATTGTTAGTTTGTAGGTATAAAACTCAATATGTCAAACACTATTAAAAAGATGCTGTTATATTGAATTCGTATTATTCTGAGTAGAAAACCTTTGCCTGCTGTCGAAGAAACAAGCTGGCGACAATAGTTCAATTTAACGGTAACTGACAACACAAGCCATTTACGGATGAATTACAGGTTCATGTTTACACATTTGGTAACAGGGAATGCTTTGATCGAATCATATAACAGTAATCAAATATTTGTCTATAAATTTGTATAAATGATTTTGTTTTTTTGTTTTATTCTTATATTGAAAATTTTAAAATTAATAATGATGTAGAGATGGTTGACCGTTGATATAATATGAGGAGTTGATCGGGGGTTAAATTAATTTGACCACACCCCCCCATCAATTCCTTCTCATTTTATATTTTATATTAAAAACAGAATCATTATAAAAAGCCACAGGTTTTTGTTAAGGAAGCAACTACATAGTGTGATGTAATGTTTTTATAAACTATTGAGGGAACAGGGAAGCTTAGTGGGTGAGCACTGACTTCCACAGCTAAAGATCCGGCTCCAGGTTCAAATCCGGCTGATGACTAGTAAATTTTCATCAGCTATGGGGAGGCTTTTTTTTTTTATTTTATTTTTTTTTATTATTTTTTTTTTTTATAAACTACTAAGATTTAAATACAGAGACATTTCTAGTAAAATATTTACTTTGAATATAGATTTAAAAAAAAATTAAGTTTACAGTTAATTCAGTGATTATTGGCCTTTGTATCATATAAAATTTTACTGGTTTTATTATAATTATTACTTCTTTGTTCTAGATACTGACTAGGAGGATACGTTTTAGACTCGAGAAATATCCAGGAGAGAGTAGTTTAATTGATAGAACCGGTCGGTCGTTAAAGATGGAACCATTAGCGACTGTCGCTCAGCTGGAAGCGTACCTTTTAAAAATGGTCGCCAAGCAATGGTAAAAACATTTATATCTTGATTAATGTTTATTGTTTTATTAACCTATATAAGAGCTGAGATATATTTAGTAATCGATAGATTAAGATGACCTTGTGAATTTCGATGTGTAGGAATTGTGCAATGTAAACTTCAGATATGATTACTGTATAGACTTCATGCTCAAATGTTTAACTTTTTTCTCAAGTTATATCCTAAATTTGCTGTTGTGTAATTGGATCAATTAGTAGCATGGTATCAATATTGATTAATGAAAAAGGTGTTATAAATATTATTTCAGACTGAGGAATAATTCTTTCAATACTTACACATACATTTAGTGAGTAATCCATTCCGGAATCCCAACAAACTGATACCGAATTGATTCATTTTTATTATTGGTTCATATTTACTCAGAAATTGTAAAGCTATTCAAAAATCTAATAATGTTTGTTCAAATAAAACATTAAGTAATAGTGGAGATATAACATTGACTGATTTAATCTGAATTTCCACATTCATTATTCGCAAAGTAAAAGGAATGTTTTTTATTATTGTAATTTAAATATTCCTGAGGGTATGCTGTTTATCTGATTTTAGAAAGAAAAAAAAATGTTGAATTTTGTCCTTGAATGTAGTGTAAATAATTTTTTTTTTTTTAATCTGTTCGAAGTGTAGCGTGGCCTCATTATGTATTATTTATAGTCCTATTCTCTGTTAAAACAGGCCAGATGCCTTTGCGAACTTATAAAGACTGATGGGTTCAATCGATTCACTTAACTTAGGGTCAGTGATACAATCACTTCCAAAATTAAGGTACCACAATCTAGCAAGTCATCGCATTTGCATGTAATGTGGTTGGCAATTTCATCCTCTAGGCCACAATTAAGCCCAGACTAAAGAGGTGCTTATTGAACTGACAGTGATCCATGTACAGTCCTGTCATACGTCTAATAGTACCTCTGTCCACCAGAAGTGAAGCGCTTCTCTTAGAATAGGGTCTTTCTAGGAACAACTTAGAGTATGTTTGTTTATTAGTATGCTCCCAGTAGAGCTTCATTTTATAACTGCCTTAATATGTCTTTTGTCATATCTGTAGCTAATATTAATATATAACATTTAAACTGTTGGGAGTAATTAATTAGTGAACTTACAAAAAACTATGTTGTTTGTTTTAGGTATGATTATGATAGATCTAGCTTTACATATGTACGTGCTCTTAAGGAGACAGGAGTCCGTTTAGCATTTAGGCATCAGCATGACTTCGATGAAAATGGAATTATTTACTGGATTGGAACAAATGCTAAGTAAGTCACTAATAAAAACTATATTCATGGTGCTTTTGTGACAATTCAATCGTTCAATATCATTGTTTATTTTTATTTGTTTAGAACGTCTGAATGGGTAAATCCAGGACAGTTTGGCTTAGTTGTTGTAACATCATCTGATGGACGTAACCTTCCATACGGTCGTCTGGAAGACATCTTAAGCCGTGATTCCTCAGCCCTAAACTGCCACACCAACGATGATAAAAGAGCCTGGTTTTCTGTTGATCTGGGTCTCTGGGTTTTTCCCACTGCTTATACCCTACGCCATGCCAGAGGTTACGGGCGATCAGCTCTTCGAACCTGGCTGTTCCAAGTGTGTTATCATTCATTTTTAGTTTTAAATTAGTTATTGATTAATAATAGATCATGTCGCCAGTTAATTGCAAAAATTCATTAAATTTGAAGAATTATCCCTTTATGAAGTAAAAAAAATTTGCACTTCTTAAAATTATATTATATTTGATATATAAAAGGGTTTTAGGGAGCTAGGATAGCTGTGTCAGCCTACTGGAGGCAATTCACACCGACGGGGCGTAGGACTGATGACCCTACCCCCGTGCACTTAAAATCGGGAATCAGGAAGTGGTCTAGGCCCTCCTAGACCCCCATCTTGCGTACAAATATCTTCATGGTCTGTAGCGCCAACCGAAAAAAAAAAATTATACATACAAAAGGGTTTATTTTATTTTCATACCCTTAGAGTGTTTTTATATTGATGATTAAAGTCTAAATTCATAAAAACACATTTGAAAGTTAACCTGTATCAAAGTTATTAACGAACTTAGTTATTTGTTGCAATAAACTTCCATATGTGTCGTATGTGTGTTTTATGGATAAATAATTTTTTTTAATTCTGTTTTGAAATGGCTCTGTAGCCTGTGTATAGTTTCTCATGATCCTAGAGAATAAAAAATCTTTGGGAACCTAGTAGTTTGTTATTATTTATAGGCGTAAAAGTCCCCAGGTCATCAACGCCTGGGAACCTAGCGGTTCTCCATACTTTTGACTTTCTCGCCTACTACTATTTAAAGGAATTATTAAATTAATTTTACTGACCTACTCTTTTTTCAGGGAGTGAATCATGATTTTACTAAGCTCTATTTTCAATTTATTATTAGTTATTTATTTTATTTTCTATATAAAAAAAATTCTAATTTTTTTTTCAGGGTTCACGTGACGGTATCAACTGGGTCACTCTTTCTTGTCATAACGATGATAATTCCTTGAACGACCCTGGTAGCACTGCAACCTGGGAAGTGGAAGTACAACCAGAAGAACCGATACGTCATGTTAGGCTTCAACAAGCAGGCAAAAACGCTTCTGGACAGACACATTATCTATCTTTGTCCGGTTTTGAAATTTACGGTACAGTTGTTGGTGTCTGTGATGATTTAGGTAAGGATTTGTCGATTCATTTATTACCGTTTTTAATTTAATTACCAAAAGTATTAAATATTCCTTTATATATTTCCGATGTAGGAAAAGTTGCCAAAGAAGCTGAAGCAAGTTTACGCAAACAACGTCGCCTTGTAAGAACTCAAGTCGTAAAACAGATGATAGTCGGAGCTAGAGTTGTAAGAGGAATAGACTGGAAATGGCGAGATCAGGATGGCATTCCTCCAGGAGAAGGGACAGTGACTGGAGAATTACATAACGGTATGTACAGTACATATGTATGTTTAGGGTTATATTTCATTTAAAACTCAGGAATAAAATGTAAAAGTTGAATTTTATATTATTATAGCTGTTGCCCACAACTTCATTCATTTAATCTTCAATTTAAGGCGACGATATTGATGATGAACCTCGTAGTTGTAAATAACAATTTATTAAATGGATGAAAGTTGTTGGAAAATATCAAGTAAACCTATATACATAGAACCAAAGAGAATTTAAAAATAAGAAATCTCAGGATGCAGTCAAATTTTAAAATCTTCTGCTTAAAGCTTTAAAATTTACACTAACTGCATCTGTAAAGTTAACCATAGAGATATTCAGTATGAGTATCAGTGTTCATTGGATTTAGAATAGTTTTTTTCTTTCCTTCTGATGCATTTACAAATGAATCAGAAGATTTTCCGATGGATGAGTAGGCTACATTCACCTGTTGGTGTGAGAAGTACGAATTTTGGAAATTCTGTCTATACTTGTTCAATTGTAACATCAAAAATTCTGTTGCTGGTTGCAAATAATTCACAAAAATCAATCCAAGTAATTTATAATACAGCAGTTAGTAAATCATTCATTTTCAGCTTTAAATTAATTATTCATCAATAGATCATGTCGCACAGTTTATTGCAAAAAGTCATTAAATTTAAAGAATATTCTCTTTATGAAATAAAAAAATTGTGCACTTTTTAAAATTATATTTGATATATAATAGGATTTTTTTATTTTATTACTTTTTTATTAACAAACTATACATATTTATATTACAATGCAAAAAAAAAAAAAAAACTTATTTTTAGGGTTAAGTTAATACCATCGTCAAATATTTGCTACATTATTGCAATTTTTTTTCATGCCAACTGAAAATTGTTTAAAATATAAGTTTAAATTATTTAATTGATGACTTTTCTCAATGCACTGAAAATATAATGACCTATTACAACTATATAGATATAATGGAATTTATGAACATAAACCGGAAAGTTTTTTTTAGAATTTCCTTAAAAGAGTTCGGTTTACATCCTGTTTATTTTAATTAGCGTAAGCGCACCAGTGATAGATGTAATTTTCTTTTTTGCCTCATAACACTGTAATTATTATAATTATAAACTTCTCTGTTGGACATTTAGAATCTCTACGTTCTCCTTTTTCTATTTAACACTTTAAAATTGAAAAAATATTCAGTTATGCAGATATAATCTTCATTTTAAAAAAAGCAGCACCTTTTTGACTTGTGACAAGTGACGGAAACTCAGAAATTCAATTGTCTAGTAATTGCTAGGGAGTTCGGTACCAGTAATAGACGTACCTCAGAAAAATTCTAAAATCTTTATTTAACTATAAAGATAATGATAAACATAAGATAACATAAATGTTCAACTTAATCTTAGCAAAACTGTTAGCAGGAACGTATGAAACACACTGATCTCGAGAGCAATAATGATAGGCATTTTAAAATTTTCTTTTGGGAACTTTGCTCGTACCATTGTCAATAGAGGACATTGTTCTTCAATCAAGAAAAAACTGGAACCTTCAAATCAACAAGCTTATTATTTACATTTAAAGTCAAACCTGTCCATAACTGGTGCATTCAACCTAGTTGAAGTAATATCTTGTTTGATTATACCCACCTCTGACCTTCATCTCCATTACTTTATTATATTACAGGTTGGATTGATGTTACATGGGACCATGGTGGTTCAAATTCGTACAGAATGGGTGCTGAGGGCAAATTTGATCTCAAACTTGCTTCTGATCCAGAAACAACTAATAAACCTGTTTCACCTTCAGGTAAATTAATTTGAAATATAATTAATATTGAAAAATATATATAATGAAATATATGGACTATGTTTATGCGGTTTTATATTTTTCAGCCAAGTCCAGAACAAGTCACAACGAAGGATCCGTGCTTAGTAAATCCAGTTCCACCCCAAGTTTAGCCGACAATGCTGAACAGTGTAAGGTATCTGTCGCAAGTACTGATCAAGCCACATCTGCCGATAACTTGGCTGCTAAGGTCAGTGAGGAACAAATATGAAGAATATTTTAAGACTAATTTAGCTTATTCAAAAATTATCATATAAGAGTTGTTGTGTGAATGTTATGGATCGAATAAAGTTTGTTTTTATGAATATAGCAAGCTGCCGCAGCCCTCACAGATAGCGTTCTGTCTATGTCGGTTGCCAGAGCCGGAGCGATTGTGGCCACAAATGACATGTTGGCAACAGACCTAGCTACAATAGTTGAAGCGATACCCATACAAGGTGAGCGATTGTTACTCAATCACTTTTTTATTTTTAGAGTGGCATGAGTGTACTGCGCCCATATAGGCCTATTGTACGCCTTATTTAAAGTCACTCCTGTTTAGAGTGTAATTCCTGCAGTCTCAATAAACTGTAATAAGGTTGTTGGATTGATAAACTCGTTTGCCTTGGGATCCTTCTTGCTATCAATTACGAATTATCAAAATCTTAATCCAGCAAACCTATCACACCAGCAAGTAACATGATATGCTGTCTCATCCTCCCGGCCACAATACCTACAAAGAGACTACTCCGTGAGCCGGAGTTTGAACATATGATAATTCAGTTTAAAATATCCTGTATATCCTGCTGTAATTTTCTTAAGTGAGCTCCTGCTCAAATTAATTAGCAAGTTACTTATTTTTCGACAGATTCCTTCCAGAAACGAATCTGCTACACAATCACTTACTTTATTTATTCATAATGATGTAGAGATGGTTGACCGTAATATAATATGGGAAGGAGTTGATCGGGGGTTGCGGTCAAATAAATACTAAATTATAGAAATAGTATTATTTAATTAGCAAAAAAATTAAATAATACTATTTTTATAATTTAGTATTTATTTGACCTCACCCCTCGATCAACTCCTTCCTCTACCTTATTTATTAGTTGCCCCATACGAATAATTCACAAAGAATATTGCCTGTGAACAAATGACAATATAATAAGGAAATAAATAATTCAATGTATCATGATCAAGGAATCATTTCATATTTTTTTCAGTAATTGTTATCGACCAAGGTAAAAAAAAATTATTATAAAACTTCAATGTTTTAAACGAAAATGTTTACGAATTACAACAGCCTATATTTCAACTAATAATATTCCCATTTTAATGATTTTTTTTTTTTTTTTTTTTTTTTTTTTTTTGTATTGTAGGGAGTTTGATAATGTTTCAAATAATCATGGGTAAAATCAACAAAAAATAGACATTCGAGGAACTTCTTCATTTTATCCTACTACTCTGTTTTTGTATACAATAATAAGTTTATATATTTTTTCAAATTCTTGTCATTTGATAATTATCTTTTCAGATCTTTCAATCCGAGACCACGATTCTTCTAATAATATGGTAAAGAGAAGCAGTTTGGATAATTGTAGCGGCAAGGCTAATATTCACCAGAATAACACTGCAGTAACTTCTTTGATGGGAAAACCATTCTTCCAGACAAAAATAAATAAAGTAAATATCTACTTATATAATCAAATTTTGGTTAAATTCTATCTAGAACTATTTATATTTAATATTGTACAGTATTATTATATATTGTTTGCAATGGTTATGTTTTTACAAACTTGCTCATTCCTTTTCTATCCCCTCCTACTTATGAAAACTGTTCTGTCTCTATATCATTAAACTTTAACTATGCCTACATTTATTTTTATCTAAAGTTGTTCCACATAATTTGTACTGAAATAATTCATATGTATTAACTATTGCTACATCCTCAGGTATCTAATAGCTAGTTCATTGTATTGGCTGAGTCTACCGCGCTGCATCAGTTCAAATTTTAAATCTTTTCGGTAATAATTATTACAAACAGAATAGTATATTCCAAAAAGTGATACATGTACAGAGGTCCTTCAACCACCACAACTATATTCCACTAGATCCCGTACTTCTGACCTCTATCCACCTCCTCATCGAACTGCTGCGTTTGACAGATCCTTTATAATTCAAGCCGTCTCCACCTGGAATACCATCCCTCCCGATATCCGACATGCGCAATCAGTTTCCTCATTTAAATCCCTCTTTTTTAAGCACCTACTTCTTTTCCAACCCGATTGAACATGAAAAGTAGATAAGAGAACTTTTTAAGTTCCCCCAGAAATGGTTTTGTTTAATTATGTTATTTTATTTTCACATGTTTGTATTGTAAATATATGTATGTATTTAGTGGTTTTGTTTTATTTTTCATCCAATATTTTTATTTTAATGAGCATTGTAAATATTTAATTTAATTTTATGGCCACACAGGCATTTCCTCTGTATCTATAATTTGTTCTAAAGGGACAACAGTCCCAGGATAATAAAAATCTATTTTCATTTCATTTCACAATTGATACAATTCTTAGCAAAAACTTATGAAAGTTAACAAATAAATTTTATTTTCAGTTCAGTAGCTGCTGTGAAGACAACGGTGAAAGAGAAAAGGGCACTGACATCCTCCGAAACAACACCAACAGCTTCCTTTCAGGTGATCTGCTCCCTTCATCTCTTCTTGTCGGAACTTCTTCGCCAGGTATAAACTTTACACAAAAGTTGGGGGACGGAACATAGCTCATTTTGAGCTCATTAAAATAGCTCATTTTCGATATATATAATATGCTCAAGAATGGAAGCCAGTAGGTTAGATAGCTTTAAAAGAATAAACATTATTTAAAAAAAAAAAAAAAATTGGTACAGCATGCTTTATTTGCTAGAGATGCATTGAGGAAGTTGTATATAGCCGCTGTGTTATATCTTTTTAACTAACGTATGATTCCGTTTCGAGTACGAACGATTAAATGACTGCTCTGAGGAAAAAATAAAAAAGTTTGATGCACGATTTTCATTGTGTTTAAACAACTAATTTTTCTGTTTTAAAGTTGTTGTTTTTTTTTAATTAATTGCTACCAAAATAAAACATTCCTTCAACCTTGCAGAACATTAATTGACCAAATTAAAGATTAACCCCCTTTGTATTTCGTATTTATATTTGCTTTATTTTAGGCCTCGTATCAAGCACCCTACAACAATCAGTAAAAATTAACGTGTCAAGTGGTAGTGACTTGTCAGATCCAAAGGATGAAAAATCTCTGAGATACAAAATTAAACAACCCCTAAGTGAAAGTAAGTTTTGCGCAAATAAAACTATCTTCACGATCTCTTTTCTCTTTAAGAGTTTCTGGTTGTTTTTCTTTTTTTTTTTTCTTCTTTTTTTATGTCTTTCGTTTTTGAAGAAAATACCTCTTTAAATTTCCTATATTTTCTTTTATAATTTCTGATTTCATTGTCACTGCCATTGCCACTGTTTCTTTTTTTTTTCTCTCTAAAGTTTTTTTTTTTTTTTTGTTTAATCTTAATAGAAAAAAAATAATATTTTTCAATGTTATTGGAAACGTATTATGTTCTTTTTAATTATAGTGTCTTGCAAAAAAGAAAAATGTGACAGCAAAGAAAAAGATAGTCGAGGTGCGAACCCTATGAGTATATCAGTTCCCAATCTAACCTGTACTGCCAATACCGCACCCTTGGAGCAAGGTAATGATACACATAAATAGAAGAAATTTATATTTATCGAAAGATATGGTCTTAAACAATCTATCATTTTTAGCTACAGATTATAGTATTTTTTTTTTGTTTATATTTAGTTTCATGATAAGTAGCTCGGTTTATCTGGTTGTTTCACAGAAATATCAGTTATTGGGATGACTTTAACAATGTTATTGAATTGTCATAATTTGTTACATTGATTTCTCTACCCTTAAATATATAAGGAATATATAACCGAATCTCTCTTGATTCGGTTTTCAATTTGCTCTTATAATTATTATTGTATAAATAGGCAAAGACACAGTTCACTACCATTTCCTCCTCAACCTATATTTTTTTTTGGTTAGTAGCTGTTATCAATAAAGTATAAAGTATAGTGTTATCAATAAGAAAAAAAATTGTAAACAGTGTATATAAATAAATTTTCTAGTCACATCCTTCGGCCATCTATTTTAGGCCATAGGTCACCAAAAAAAAAAAAACACAGTTTTTTTATTTCCTGTATGTTTTATTCAACGTTTCGGCTTCAGGAGCCATTTTCAAGAACCTGCAAAACTAATTTTAATTTATTTTTTACCATTCAAGTACAGCCTCAGACACATACTATTCAACATCCACAAGTAATACATTTAGTTTGAATTTTTTTTTTTTTAAATATTTGAATAAACTTGTATCATCCACCTACCATGCACCGCGCCATAAAATTTTTAAAATTTATCATTGCGATATGATTCGTCCTAATTCATTCTTTTATTTCAAAGAATGTCGTTTTCCGTTTCTAAAAATTGTAATATATAATTAAAAAATAAAAATAGATTGCTATAATTAATTTAAAAAATTTATTAATTTTCGATTTATATACCTCTATTTGCAGACGGTATCAAGAAATTATTGTTCTTCAATAGAGCATTCATACAGGACTGGATTTACTTACATAAGGAGTGGGGTGGAGGGGTTAGGGATCAGCTGTTTTATATCAGTATGTTATATATTAATTTTATTGTGCTAGCATAAAACGTGTTTAAATTATCAACATCTGTCTGTTGATTCACTGAATGTTTTAGATTTTTCGTGATAAAAATGGATTCAATGATTCTACGTTTCCCAATAATAGGCAAAGACACAGTTCACTACCTTTTCCTCCTCAACCTATTTTTTTTTTTGGTTAGTAGCTGTTATTAATAAAGTATAAAGTATAGTGTTATCAATAATAAAAAAAATTGTAAATAGTGTATATAAATAAAAATGTAAATTTTGGTTTGTTCAAAACCTCTAATCTCCAAAAACATAGCAATCAAATTCAGAATTGTTTTTTATACATTTCATTACCATCCGACCATTTTCATTTCATTTGTGCAGATCTAAACCATATTTCAGATCTACAGGATGAATTCTCTTAAGAATTGTATGATTCCTAATTTTTTCTCGAATTGGTTGGTTTTTTGAAAATGGATGAATAATCTTACTAAATATTAAGTTCCAATCCAGTCCTGGCTGTTTGGGTCTTTTTTTTTATTTTTATTTTTTTATACCTTGTGCCTTAGGTTTGCAATTTAAAACAATGATATGCAAAACTGTTAAAACTAAAGGACTCATTTCTAAAACCTTTTTTTTTTTTTTTTTTTTTTGTATCTTGATGAAAGATATACATATATATTTTTTTTTTCCCTTTTGTCGGCCCGAAACTCCCACTGAAGCCCTATACTATATGAAAGATATTTAACTCTCATTGAAATAACATTCAGTACTATTGTAATTGAGTTTGACCACTTATAAAAAGGTTAAAGTATTTTCATGTGTCATTCGTTCTTACCTTATTAATATCTTCTTGAAAATTGACATTTGCTTTGATACAACCAGATACTCTATACAGTAGAGTCCCTATAATCTGGACTAGACTGGACTGGGGTCTAGACCTTGTTTAGATTACCGAAAGTCCAGATTAAACGGAATCCGCTGTTAAATGTAAATGATAAAATATTTTTGGAATTTTTTTTGTCATAATAAAATTTATTTATCGCTTAGTACTGCAACACAAACTGTAGTAAATTGATGTTTCAATGTATAAATTAAGAATTTAAAAACAAAATAAATGTTTTGACAAACGTGCTAACATGTAAATGGGTTGCTGAAGCCCATAACTGTTTTGACGTAATATAGAAACTTGTTCGTCATTTGTAAACTCTGCTTAAATCAAACCCTTTCTTTAAATTATTTTAGTACGCATCGCCCGACAAATCAAATTTTTAGCTTCCTAAATTTAAGTTAGTTCTGCTTTAATCTCGCCTATATTAACCAGATTTGTGGGACTCTACTGTTCATTGCACTTCATGAAAATTAAGGCTTCAGCAATAACTTAAAACATTTTAAATTCAATTTTCATGTATATATTAATGCTTATTGGACTCAGCTTAAATTTAAATGCTGGTTAGGGGGTTTTATATATTTTTTAAGTAGTAATAACATAGTTGTTAGTTCTTTTATAAATTGCTTTGGTGTTGGGATATCAATTATTCTTCAAATGTTTGAAGCTTGGGCACACCGAATGTGAAATGTCTCTGCAATTTGATATAGTAGCTGTCAAGAGCAATCTGGTGTCGTTGTATTCCAATATCACAATCATACTAAACATGATCTTCCTCAGTGATGCAGACTAAAAGTTCACAGATCGTCAGAACAGATACCATTCTTTGTGCCTGTGCCTTTTGTTTTGTATTTTCAATTATTTGTATGAATACAAATTTTAAGTTTTATAAATTTTGGTAATATTTAATGGAAATCAATTTAAAAAATTCATCAAATGCCTTTTCTGTGAAATGTTTTTTTACTCAAGTACTAAAAAGAATGACTTAAAGAATTGTGGAGTATTAAGAAAGGAATCAGCGAAATTAATAAAAAAAAACATCTAAATTTGGTTTATATGGAATAAAAATATTATCATGATATTTATTTTGTAGAATTTTTTAATTACAATAAAGTTATAAAGATTTTTACACAAAACTTGAAATTGATCCAACTCAGACCAATATTTTTCATTGTCACTAAATTTTTAGTTGCATAAATTTTAAATTTTATTTAGGCCTTAATCTTTATTTTATAAATGGAAAAATCCAATCTATAAAGCCATGAGTCTCTAACATTCAGGTGAAAAGTTAACCTGACAACGTTTCGCCAATTCATGCACCATCAGGGCAGCAAAAACGATATAAGTAGAATGAAAAAACAAAACTTAGCAGGAAAAAAAAAATGAAAGCTATCAACATCAGCCAAAAACATACTGAAGGAAAAATAAGGTGAACTAAGGATTAGCTGTGTTATTACTATTACTATTATTCCTATTGTAGGTGTAGTAATCCCTGATGATTAGCAAGGATACAAAGGAAAAAAAAATACGCATAACTATAATATTTGGCTCAGTATGTATTTGGCTGACTGCGTGAGATGTCAATAGCAACCTTTCATTTTCCTTTCTTTTTTTTTTCCTGTTGTTCTGTTTTTCATTCTGCATATATGTGATCTTGATGATGCCTGAATCGGCAAAAAGTTGGCTGGTTAACTTTTCACATTTATGTTAAAGAGTCATGGCTTGGCTTTATAATTTAATTTTCCATTTATATCATAATCGTTTTGTTTCTTTTCTAGCTACTTATTTTTTTATTATTACTTGTCTGGTTTTTATATTTTTCATTTTTAAGAATGATTTTTATAATTTATTTAGAAGCAATGTAGTCCGTGGTACAGACCCCTTTTTATCAAATTAACATCTTCCTAAAACTTCGTAAATAGCTTCTTCTCATCTCAACCTATAAATATTTTATTTAAGAAAATTCTCGGAATTCGGGTGGTTTCAATCTGGAGTGGTGCAAACTTTGTCTATTTGATTAAGTATTAAAAACTCGTAAATACCCATTTGCTTTTCACCTGAATCGTAAGATAATTTGGTCATCAAATCGGGAGAAAAGATGGCCTTCAAAAATATTGAGCTGTTTGGCGTGACCTACATCCCAAAATTCTTAAAATTAGGAGGCTATTTAGGACAAATGGCCCAATATTTTTTTAGGCCACCTCTTTTATAAATTTTGTGATCAAATTATCTTACAATTCAGTTGGCAAGCAAATAGCTATATACGAGTTTTTAGTACCTAATTAAATAAACAAAGTTTGCCCTCCTCCAGATTGAAAACGTCCTAATTCCAAGAATTTTCGTAAATAAAATAGTTGTAGGTTACGATGAGATGAAGCTATTTACGAAGTTTCAGGCGGATGTTAATAATTTGATAAAAAGGTGTCTTTACCACGTACTAATGCTGATTATGAGCGTTAATTCTTCTCTAGTCTAATTTGGCATAGATCACAACAGATTAAGATTCATTGCTGTATTTTTGTTTCTATATAAGTATATAATTAATCATGTTGATAAAATTGTAATTTTAATTCAATGTTAAAAGAAGAATTTTTAACGTAAGAGAAAAGAACAATTGTCTTGAAAGGTTGGTAGCTTTCACTAACCGTATTTTAAATTACACTTTATTTACTGTTACACACTGTTACACACTGTTTTATAATTATTTATGATGCATACTCAAAATTTTGTTCATTCTTTTTACACAACTTGGAGGCAGTGTTAGAGGGTGATGACATAACCTCAATTCCAAAACGGGGCCAGTTCGATTCTGGTATGGATGGGGTGAAATTTATTTTCGAAATTAAATAGTTAATGTGATTTACCCTTGGTGATTGATTTTTTTATTATTATTTTGTATTTATTGATATTTAGTATTTGATTTGTTGTTGTTGAGTAAAATTGTTAATTATTGCTATGATTTCAGGCACCGGCACTGGTCTTTTGGAAACATTTGCAGCTATGGCTCGTCGTCGCGGTAACACTAGTAATTCAGCTGCCAATAACACCGCTAATTCTAATTCCAATTCGAATCCTGTCGCAAATCTTTTCCCCAGAGGGCAAAGTTCTGTCACCAGCTTAGTTAGGCTTGCATTGTCCTCCAACTTTCCAGGTATTTTTATATATTCAAAGAATTATCTTTTATCGCAGTCTTCTTCTATCTTCTATGCTTTTCAAAATGCCCTCCTTGAAACAGAACTTATGACTATATCAGAGACATTATTATTTTATTTGTTTTATGGCTGTAGTGTTACAAGTTGATTCCTAAATTTTTTTGTTGTAATTAACGGTTACAGATTTTGTTTATTTTCATTCATTACTTTTTAATCTTACATTATTTTTTAAACACAATATAAATTAGATTGACTAATTTATGAGAAAGCAAGATAAAATAAGTAATGAAAAAGTTGTCTAATACACTGCTGAGTTAAAATATATGTATATATAAATTGAGAACCATTACCCTTAAAGATGTAGTATTATCGTTGTATCCAGGCATATATCAGTCTATTTTACTGATCTAAGGATTAAAAACATTAAATATTAGAGAATGGATGTGATTATCCAAAAGTCATTTAATCTTCGAAATTCGCTGACTGCATATCTGACTTAACAACTAACTTCACAATATGAACATAAGTTCTGTTTTTAGCTCTAAATTTGAATTATATCTATTTACTTATAATTGTATAAAGTGTAAAAACATTAACTTTTATTTATTTTCTTTTTCATTTCCAACTCTACTTTTAATCTATCAATTCTAAGTTTTCTCTATATCCTTTTGTTGTGTTTTTTATTGTAATTGTTTTTGACGATTTAAATTAATTATTGTAGCTAGGTTTAGTGGTATTGTTAATGGTCAGGAGAGACCTTTTGCCAAACTTATTTGGAAACTTATTGTTGCTTCATATCAAACCTTCTGACTTTCCTGATAAATTCCAAAAGGAGAGGCCATTTATTGGATAGGCTAAATTCTAGTGACATGTATTGTTCATTCTCTGCTGTTTAGTGATGTAATTAGTGGTCTTAGCAGCTACCACTCCACAAATCTTAAGTTGTCTTTTCAAGTCAGAAATGGCCTATAAGTACTTTAAGTATTAATTAGGGTTCATTGCCGATTAGTCCTAAAGGTAAGGTGTTTTATTATTAATTGCTTGGCCAGTCTTTAGGCCAACACATTCTCTCCATCTTTACGTTGGTTTCATTTAGAAATACCTAATATGGATTCTGGCATGGATATGAGAAGCTCGTCACCTATTCTAGCAGTAATATCTTTCAAATAAAAAGCAAGTTATTCAAAAGATTGTTTATGCTCCTTTACTGTATGGGTGTAACTTAAGGAGACTCAAGCTTGTAAGGCTGATTGATTATTTGAGTAGATATAAACACCAGTCCTATAATATTTTATAACTTCTACGCAGATGGCTGTGCATAATATATTAAATACCTCTACTCCAAGTACAGTGTTATATTTACCTAGTGCTTAAATTAATTCCTATTTTCTGTATTAGGAATCCATGATGTATCTGTAAAACCGGGTTTATTTTTTAAATCTTGTGGTCAATCTAATGTATTAAGGTATATTTAGACAACTCTAAAATCAAAAGTAGGACCTTATATTGGGTCGTTTCATATGAAATGTCAGTTTTTACAGGAAAGGTTATTTAGTAAAACAACTTAATGAAATCAAAACATTTTTATTCAAAATATCTTATTTGCCCTTAATTTCTATAAATTTCCACCAACGTATTATCAACTTTTAATCCCGGAACTGAAAAATTCAGGTTTTTATGAAGAAATTAAGTCAGAAAATACATTTTTGACCTCAAAATCATTTTTAAACATGTTAGCTTTAAGGATTTTGTCCAAAGTTTGAACTGATGAAAATCTGTTGGAAATATAAATAAGCCTGGCGAATAAGGTGGGTGTGGAAGGACTTTGCAACACAGTTTGTTTAGTTTCTTCACTGTCTGTCGTGAAACATGAGGTCTGGTGTTGTCATGTAAGAGCATAGGTCGCTTCCAATTAACCAGTGCAGGTTATTTTTGATGCATTATGTCAAAATAATAAAAAAGGAGAAATTAATTATTCCTGCCATTGACCCACCACACAGAAATCAATAATTGTTTTCTGATGCAAATTTTTTTTTTGCTTGCGCTACCGAGTGTCCATGTTAAAACTAAATAAAAAATCACATGTTTTCATGGTCATATTTGATGGCATACTAAATAATGTGCAATAAATTTTAATGTTAGTAAATATTATCTAAAAAGATATTAATAACAGCTCATTGTAATCTGTAAACAAAAGCATAGGAAACAACAAAAGTACTATAATCCCACTTTGAATTTCTGGAATAATGAAAACAGACATTTGATATGAAATGACTTAATAAAATCTGTTGCACTCTTGATTATTGCTTTTTGTCCTGGAGGCTCTCTTTTTCTTGTCACTGACTATTTATTTATTTAATTTTAAATTAGCCATAACTCTTTTAGCCATAGATGAAAGGGTATAAGTGCCTTAGCAAGAATAATGTGAAACGTTCCGTTAAGCCTTTGAATTCCACAGCTATGCGTAGATATTTAATTTAGAAATGAAACTATAAAGTCAAATAGTCTTAACAGTAATAATCTTTATTTCCTTCTGAATATTTTAGATGAGTTCTCCCATACATCAATTTTTTATAATTTAAGTTATTCAGAATAAAATTGTAATACTTATTTTATTTATTTCAGTTATTAATGAATCATAGTTAACTGTGAATTAAGTTTTATCTTGTTCTTATTTTGAGTCTTGTCTATTTAGCGCAGTTTGAAAATAATTGCCAATTTTTTTTAAGAAATGGATATTTTCCTGAGTTTTATTTTTCTGGAGGTAATGAACCACGTAATCAACTTTTAGAAATTCATATTAATCCTAACCCTCTTTTTTTCTTTGTCTTTTTTGATTTTTAAAAGTTGTTTAACAATGCATGAAGCATGCTCCATTGCAAGATATGTTAATACAACTGGTTCTACAATTTTCACAAAACCTACTGGTTTTCATTTAAAGTAAATACAAACATTTTTAGAATATATGCCTATATATCTTATTTTTTAATTTAAGTAAAAATATTTTAAATAAATTTGCTCTATTAGTTTACATTTTATTATAGTAATACAGTTTAATCTCTGTATACTCATACTTCAATATATCAAAAATCTCTACGGAACATTTTTAATAACCTTGAATTTTGATTAGAAACAAATATTCTGTATATATCTAGATATACAGAGGTTACTCTGTTTATATTATTAATAATAAATATATTATTAAATTGAATAATAATATATTTTACTTCTTATTTCTGTTATAAAAAATTTTTAATTGATGTAAGAGTTGTTTACATTTTTTTAAATTTAAGTTTCTATGATTATATATGGTTTTGGAACCATAATTATAATTCATTTAGCTTAGTGAATTATAACATGCTTTAATAAAATAATAATAGTATCTGTGATAAATTATAATAAAAGTTGACATTAATTATACAATAAATAATATCTTGTAATACAATTTTTCAAATTTTAATATATTTGATTCTCTCCATTGAAAGATATTTGTTGAACTCGTGCAAAGTTTTTATTTATTTAATAATGTATAATTATTTAATATTATCTTTTATCTCAATTTTGGAATATAAAATAAATAACAATTTGGTCCCTTAATACTGGTGTATTTATTTCAGCGATGGTTTTTCTCCTGATTGAAATCGACAATCAATGATTTTAACAGGTTCTTTCTTTACACATATGAACTGTCTAATTTGTATGTGTTAAATTATTTCCCAAGTATTTAAAATGTTTTAGTTATTTTTAGCTGTGATAAGAGTTTAATAATTAATTAAAAGTATTTTTTATAAACATTGTCAGTTGGCTTATTTTTTTTTTCTGAAATTGTTGCTATATTATCATTAATAATACAGTCTATATCCATATATAAAACCTTTTTAGTTAGATTGAATTTTCATTAGATATAATATTATGTTGGTATACTGTATAAAATTTCTAAATATTGAACATTTTTTTTTAAGTTACATTAAAAAAATAAATGTAATTTACATGAGAAAGGAAATTAATACTCATATGAATGGTTAGAGATACAGTAAAATTTATGAAGTTATATTATTAAAATATAATACACATAAAAAAAATATTGATACTTTTTTTACCATGAAAAATAATTGTCTTCTTTCTATATACCAAAATTTCATTATATCAATTTTTTTTAAAGGAACCCTTCATGTTTGATGTATGGAGTATAAAGTAATAATATTAAATAGAATTAGATTTTCAATGGAAAATTTATTTCATTGATTTTATTTTAATGATTTTTTTTTTTTTATTTTTCACAGGAAATGTTATTTAGTCAGACAACTTTATGAAATAGAAACGTTTTTATTCAAAATATTTACTCTCGTTTTCTATACATTTTCCCCAACGTGTTATCAACTTTTTAATCTTCCGGAATTATCGGATCCTGCGTTTTTAAGCCCAAAAACGTACTATTTTCGAGAAAATGCAAGGCATAGCGTTCGCATCCACATAACCTTAAATTAATTGTAGTACTGTCATTGAATACATGTCTGATTTCGTCGACTTGAGGTCTCTATCATCGAGAGAGGAGGAGTTAATATTATTTATCGATGGTGCTTTTTATCAGCAAGCCATATCATCATCAATCATTCACCAAATCTCAATATTAAGCCACCAATTTCGAAGGCTTCCTTCTCCTTCAGGCCAATCACCCTGAAAATTCAGGCAAACAAGTTATGAAAGAAAACAAACTTTATTTGCGAATAACTAAAAAATTACACACTTTTTCACTTGGTTATGCCCATGATTATATAAAAGATTACTGAATTCCCTACAAAAGGAAAAAAAAATCATTGAAATCGGACAATTTTTAACAAAGATACAGCTTACTGAAATTTGTAAACATGTTGGTTCCAAACAAAAATGAAGATTTAAATTAATTTTTGTTTCCTTTGTCGATCATATTTATCGATAAAGTAACGTTTGATGTATTGATATCTTTTGATACGTTGCATTATTTTTTTTCTTATTATTAATTTGGTATATTGATAACAAGATGTGCGAATTTTTCGCACGGGCCTACTAGTAATCTGGAAACATAAATTTGGTATAAGAAATTCTTGTAATCACACTTTAAATTTCTGAAATAATAAAAATGGACTTTTCAAATTAAATGACCTAATACATTAGTTATTTTGTGTTATATGAATTAACATTAAATCATAGTAAATTTAGCATAAGAGATAATAAAAAATGTTGCTTTATACTGATAGATATATTTTTTACTTAGTGTTTATGAATGATTAGCATAGCGCTAACCAATTGCACAAATGTATTTAAGGTTTTTGTATAGGTGGTCTGTTGAGTACAGCTCAAAGCTACCCTTCATTGACGACCGGAGGAGGCGGTGGAAGTGGCCATGCACCCGGGCCTCAATGTCAAGCTCTTACGATGAGCCTCACGTCTACATCGAGCGACAGCGAACAGGTTAGCTTGGAGGTAAATTTCGTAAGCTTGCTATACATATTTTATTAAAATGTTGATCTTTTTATCGATGCATTTAATTCTATTAGCGCATTAAAGGCGGGAGTCGTAGTACTACGATTTATCTCGACTAGCATACTTTCGTCAAGATCCCCCCGCCTTTAATGTGTTAATATCTTCTCATTTTAAATTTTTTTTTTTTGTTATGACTTTAGACTTTATAAAAATATGAATGTAAATAAGAAGAATAAGGTGAGAATTTTTTACTAAATATTTGTATCTAGAATAAGTTCGTATGACCGGAAAACTGAACTTTTCCACTGCCTGAAATTGTTCGAGATTTTGTTAACAGGAGATTTAAACAGAAACATGTTGGAATTCCTATTTTTTGATAGGACTAAGGAATCAGTTTCTCTTATCTGAAGTTATTTAAGTTCACAATAATGGAAAAAAAAAATAGATAAAATGACCAGATAGTATAATTCTATTATATTTGAAATGAAATGAAAATACTTTCGTTTTCCTAGGTTTGTTTTTCTATAAGAATAAATTATAAATACAGAGTAAATAAGGCATTTCAGTGTGGTAACGCATTAAGTTAAATACTTACAAAATAATAGGTAATTATAAATAAAAATTCATAAAGAGATAAAAAAAAATCATATATATATATATATATATATATATATATATATATATATATATATATATATATATATATATATTTACAACTTTTCCTTAATCGACCTTTGAGTATTAAATTTAAACATAACTATTTAATTGGGAATAAGGTCACTTATTAATTATTTAATAAACTACTGAATGTTCATTTCATATATGTTTATTTACGTTTCGATCCCAGTATTTCTTTTTATAATTCAACGATGGGATCCTCTTCAAAGCTAGAATTTTTAAAAATTAGAGGCTCGGCCAGGGACACACCGACAGTCTCAGCATCGTCTACTAGCACATATATAAAGCTACTGCCACTAACACATATATAAAACAAAATTGGGAAAATAAAATAAAATAAGTTAAAAAAAAAAAATAGTTTCTGAGGGTACTTAGAGAGTTCTCCTACGTACCTGATCATTTGGATTAGGAAAGGAATAGGTGCTTAAAGAAGAGAGATTTAAAAGAGGTTTGATACACACACAAACTGATTGTGTGTATCGAATATCGAGAGGGATGGAATTCCATAGAGAGATAGCTTGAATTACAAAACACAGAAGTTCGGTGAGGATGAGTAAAGAGGTCAGATGTACGAGATTGAATTGAGGATTTAAATTGTTGGCTCTGGAAAATATAGGAGAGTCACACTGAGTTCTAATAGCCTGGTATAGACAGGTAACAAGGAAGTACTGATGAGGGGTAGGATGGATAGAGCCTATTTCTTTCTGTTTCATTAAAGAAAATTAAATTGATAAAGTGGAATCATATCAACTCCCAACTGATGAGTGGCTTGAAATGATGAAGCATATGATGTAGAGATGGTTGACCGTTGATATAATATGAGAAGGAGTTAGTCGAGGGTGCGGATGAAGCATATGATTTTCTATCAAAAATAATTTCACGAAACTTAAATAATCTAACTCAGCCTTTTAAAACTTTCATTTGAAGACGCCGATTATTTTTCTGCAGAGGGAGTCAAATTAAAAGAATCATTTTTTCGATATTGGTTTACTTAACTTACTAAATATAATTGATTATGTGCATCATCATGTTCAGTAGAATACCGTTTTTGGAGCAAAAGGATTTGATCCTTCTATTGAAATAAACAATTATAACAAATGTTTGTTTGTTCGTTGATATACTTTTTCACATCGTAGTGGTGCCTGCAGGACTTCCTAGAGAGCTGCAGGGCCCCGACACTTCTCGCCGAATTGGAGGACGATGAAATGGGAGACGATGAAGAAAATGATGAAGAAGAGAATGAAGACGATGATGAATATACTGGTGAAGTCATGGTGAGTATAACACAATTTTGATTTTTGGTTAAATCTATTTGATGTTTCAAATAAATATGATATGGAAGAGATATATTATATTATGACAACTATGTAGGCTATGTATTCAGACTACAACATAAAAATAATACGCACCTCTCCTCGAAACAGTATATTATATTATCTTTATTTTGGATTGGAATAGAATAGGGTTCAGTCTATTTTCCTACACACGTTGCATTTTAAGGATTTCAGAGGAGAATGAGTATTTAGCAATTTAGGATATTTTAAAATTTGTATTCTAGTGATAGAGCTTGGTATTTTTTTTCACTTTTTCTGATGGGAAATACATTTCATCAAGCCATGAACAAAATAGTTGGAGATTCTTGGTTTTGTATTCTACAGAACTACAGAATTTCTCTTTAATTTCTTATTTTCGATTTATTTGTATAATTACAAATAATTTGTTTTTACAAAATATTTTTAAAAAATTTAAATCCTAGACATCAAGATCTTTTGATTATTCAATATAAACACCTAAATAGTATAAATTTATTAATTAAATGAATAGTTGATCAATTAATAAAATGTCTGTTGAGTGCAAATCCAGCTCGATGTTTCTGTATCATGCATTTAACCAAATGAGCCATTTGGTTTCAAAACCGTTTACAACCATTTTCAGAATTGACCTAAAAAGATTGTATAGAACCACTTTTGATTGGAAATCAAATCTTTTGGTATCACTAGCGGATCCAGGATTTAATTTTTGGAGGGGCTTCAGTCCGAAAGATATTTTTTCATATATATAACGATAATTAATTAGAAAAAAAAAGAAAGAAATGAATTACTTATATGAAATGGTGTTTAAGAGATAGTTTTTAATATCTTTTTTCTATAAAATATTGTTATATTTTACCGTTTTGGAGTGGGGAGACTTCAACCCAAAAGCCCCCCCTCCTCTGTACATCCGCCTATGTTTGGTATTGATTTTTGTAAGATCTAGACGGTTTTGAAACAAACACATCTAATTTTATAAATATGTATAATAAAAAGTTATGTTGAATAAAAAAATAATGTTTTTTTTTTAATAAATGGATGTAACGTGTTTTAAAACTAAACACCTAAAATACTCTTTCATATTCAGTTTGACATTGGAAATATTATCATTGGCAGTATTGACATAATTAAAAAGCTCTTATGAGTGTCTGCTACATTACATACATTACAAGTAATCGATAACAGTCGATAGCTCTTAAATTAAAAAAAAACAGTCCTAATAGCTTTTAAATTAAGAGATGAAAAATTCTGTTAAAATATGACAAAGTAATTTTTATAAATGTAATAATAATTTAAGTTTAAATCAGTTAATTATGGATTTGTCATCAACAAATAGAAAATGCGTGTATTTCTGAGGATGCAAAAGAATGAATTCTAGCAAAAAAAAAAAAAAGGAAGTGTGTTGACAATGTTTCAAAATTTACTACTAAATTAAAATTGAAAGATTGAATCACCATATGCATCTGAAAGAGGAAATATTAACTGAGGTAGAATTATTTACAAAGAAAATGGCAGAGGAAGGTATAAGTATAGAAAAACCACATGAAATATTTTCAAACAAACATGCAGCAGACAGCAAACCCCTTCATAGTATTCTGCAATACATGAATCTCCCACCTAAGTGGCTATAGGGTAATTTATTTCAGCAACTTCGCTGTATATTGCATCGAAAAATTGCAGAAAAATATGGCTTATATAAATGTTCCTTTACACTATTCAATGGCATTAAACTGAGTGGTATATTTTAAGTTTGTAAATTATGGTTTAATGATTAAAAAATAATAATTTTGTTAGAGAATTCCTAAAGCTACCTTTTAATCCTAGAATTCCTACCTTATATTTTAATATCATGTTCCTTTTCCTTCAACCCTTCTACTTGCATTAATCATCTCTTACCTCTTCCCATCAGGTCGCAATCAAATCCAACGAAAACAAGAAAGTCAAAGTGAAGACAATCACAAGTCATTGTTTGGTGAAGTATCCAATAATTGTTAGTGTTATTATTTATACGAGGTAAATTTTATCTCTAGAAATAATTAGTATTAACATTTGTCGTTGATTTTATGTATTAAATTGTTTCTGGTCTTATTTAATATTGAATGGCCAAATTATATGTGATGTATTATGTTAATAGGAACAAAACTGGTCCGTACATTGTTCTAGGAACCCAAATGTGGCAGATTTGTGGTCGCGAGACCTATAGCAATGGTTTGACCTACATTATATGATTGGTATTTGGGAAAGAAAAACTCAATAAGCCTATTTAACAAAATTTGTTTAGTCGAGCAGTTTAAAATCTTAATGTTGCTGTCTGATGTACATTTATATATCTTTGAGTTTTTCAATATAATCTGCTGGATTTCGATAATTCCTTTTATAATTTATACAGACTAGATCTTAAAACTATTGAAAAATTGCATGATCAACCAGATTGGGAATAGAGTAGGTGTTAGAAGAGGAGAAATTTGAAAGAGGATACTGATTTTGCGAGTCGAATGTTAGAAGGGATAGAATTCCAGAGGGAGACAGCTTGAGTTAAAAATGATTTGAAGGAAGTGATGAGGAGGGTAGAGCATTTGAATTGTAGGATCTGTAAAATATACGAGGGTCGCCGAGTTCTAATAGCCTGGTATAGGAAGGTAGCAAGACGGTATACGGATAAAGCCACTTCAACTCTGTGTAAAACTGGGTGATATGCGTATCCCTTGAGATCCTGAAGATAAAGCATATTGAGAAATTCATTAGACGTTTAAGTTTAGCTTCGAGTTCTCCTCAGAGCTCACCATACACCATACAGCTGTAGTCAAAGTGGGGGAAAACAAGAGATCAAACCAGGAGTTGACGGGTTTTGGATGGAAGAAGAAAACTTAGATGGTTAAACTGTTTCAGGGTGGAAATAGTACGGTGGGAAATTTGGGAGATGTGTGGTTTCCAGGAGAGGGTTTGTTCAAGGTTTTTGAGGTAGAATGTAAGGAGATAGGTGAGTTGTTCAGGAGAAGATTGGGAGGTACTGAAATGGATTTGAGGTAGTATAAATTTTTATTGCCAACTTTTCAATCCAAGCTTGTGGTTCATTATCATAGTTCTTGAACACCTTCAGTGTCCTGATGATGACTCACATGTTAGGTTGAAATGTTTACCATACAAATCTTAAAAACTGACTGTATCCTGACTAGAATCACCCATGATATGTGTAACAGTCGACTATTTCCTTCCATAATTAACAGCAACAATGACATTGAATCTCAAAGATGTTAAATTTGATACAACCAAGTAATAATTTATTAGGAAGAGTTTCCCATCATATAAGATTAATTCAAATTCTATCAATTATTGAATGAAATTTGAAATTATCTTTCGAGTAGTATTACCGCTTAGCTCAATTTTTGATCACACATATTTTTAAAAAAATATGAATTGTTCAGTTAATTTATTGTATGAAAAAAAAAAAATGTGTTGTTAAGATTTGATACCAGCAATCATTGTATTTTATTCAGGGAACCGAAGACAAAAGTCACACGGATCAAGTTCAGGTGATAATAATGGTTATGATTATGAAGGCAGTAAGCGCATGTATATTTGTAATTTTATTTTAAAATTGCATTTAATTTCTACAGAACTGTGACTGTGATATTCCCCATCCACCAATTTTTGAGTGATCATTTTTATTTATTATATGTATTGGATTTTTATTTTGTTGTGATATTCCCAGTTGATTTCAAAATTATTCTAGTCACCTGCACAGTAAAACCTGGATTATCCGGGACTCCTTTAATAGGTTTGTTTGTTGGTCGTTCTGTAGTGTAAGGTATTAAATAAATATTTTGCAAAGTAATAAAATAATGATATTCATTACAAATTAATTAAATAATAAATTGTATTTATGTCAAATGTTATTCAGACAATTAGAAAATTCTCAGTAGATCCTGTTAAATCTTTCCGAAAAACTTGAACTTGAGTCGTTTTCACTCATCTTAAATTTAATTTTTTTTATTGTGGTCTTACTTCACTTTTGTTCCTAATTGCATAGCTGCTGTCAATAAAATAATAATCTGGTTAATGGGAATTTGTTTTTACTTCCAATGTTGAATTTGGGCAGGAAAAGTTCTTTTTATTAAAAATTGTTCTTTATTATTTATTTTTTTTTTATGATAAACCGATTTAAGTTTCAAATAAGTATGTTTTTATTTTTTATATTTTTCAATATTCTTTAAATACTCTGATTAAACATTTTTTCTTTCCAGATAATCGAGGTTTTACTGTTGTTGCATGTTTCATTTTCACTTCACAATAATTTTATTTTATTTAAAAAAATTTATTTTATCATTTGTTTCTTGATGAGGCTTTTACTGTTATAATTGGTTTGACTTCCTGCACCTTGTACGTTCAGAAAATATGTTGTTATCACCGTATTTGGTTTTGCATGACATTATTTTTTGTATGAGTATAATTTTATTTTAATTTCAAAAGGTTATCTTTTGAGATTTTCGATTGTTAAGGTTGTTTTTTATTTTGAAATCTTGTTTTAATATGCTCGATTGATTGAAAAATGGATTTAATATCTTGTATTAAATATCATTTATTTCATTATTTCTTACAACGTGTATTGAATCAACATTATAAGGGTGTATATTGTAGGTACAGTGATTAAAATTTTAAAATGAATCAATTTTTCTCAAAATATCTTCAAAGATGTTGACTTCACCAAATTCCTTATAAATAATTGTATCAATGATGGTTAGAGCTGTAAGGTGCTGTATATTGTTATTGCTCACAACTGTTGAGAACTAATTAGTTATCTAGTTAAAGAATTGTTAATCTCCTAGTTCCTTCATTCAGGAATCGTACCCAAGGTTCGACAGTTTTGTGGAAATAGTATTTAGTATCATTTTAGATTTTGTTTCGGATGGATGTTGAAGAACCTTAATATTTGTTGTTCAGTTTTTTAATTTATATGGGACTTGTGGCATATTTATAGTTAGATTTCTATGAATTTAAGATTCTTAAAATATATATATATATATATATATATATATATATATATATATATATATATATATATATATATTAATGAAGAAATGGTTTCAAAATTAGTTATTTTATGTTCAGAGAAAGCTGTCTATATGTGGTTTACTTCATCTAAAATTATGCTGTTTGTTTTTGTTTAATACTTTTTCCAACTTCTCCCTTCTCCCTCCCCTTACTTTCATTGTCTTAGTAATTTATTAGTTTTGAGGTATTACTACCAATGATTCAAGTTTTAGTACGCTTTATCAATGCATAGTTTTCTTTAAACTTAACATGGTTATTATGTGTTCTGGCTTGAAATATTATAAAAAAATTAGGGAATTAATCCTCTTTGGTGAATTATAGTTATTTTTTTAGAGCTGAAGGATTTTATAAATTTATAGCAGGGATTGAATCTTTTATAGAACTTTTTAAAAAAGTTCCATTTTAACAGTTTCGGTGAAACTTTTCATGAAAAAGTTTTTAAATAAAAGTTCTAAGGATTTATTTTGTAATAAAGTTTCAGGTTTATGGTAAAACTAATATTTATTCAAGTTCTAAAAAAAAAAAACTTTTCCTTGAAAATTTTCAAAAAAAAAAAAAGTTCTAGTTCTAAAAGAACTAAAACTATCAACAACAGAAATGTCATTGATACCAAAGCTTTTTAAAAAGAAAATTTTTTTTCTGTTTCAAGCCTGGATTTAATAAGAAAAATGATCAAAATCTTATGTATTAACATTTTTATTTGTATATAATATGCATTAAGTTGCAATTTTTTTGTCATATGGAGTTTCAGAAAACTTTTATAAACAAATGTTAACGGAAATATAATATGGTTATTTAGAACAATAAGTAGAGGATATGGTGTATTAGAGATAATGGAAGGATTTTTGTATTCAAAATGATCTTGACATTAATTTTTAAATTATTCATTTATAATTTTCAGGAGGATGATGGCTACGAAAGCAGGAATACTGGTGGCGGGCCTACAAGCGGAGGTACTAAAAGACGTTCTTGGGATGATGAATTTGTCTTGAAAGGACAATTTTCTGCTCTTATCCCTGCATTCGATCCAAGACCAGGCAGAGTGAACGTGAACCAAACAACAGATTTAGACGTCCCTGCTCCAGGACCCGAAAATTCTTCAGACCAAGCACCGCTCCTGGAACAAACTTCTCATAGGCCTAAATTACAGCTGCATCTAAAAGGGCCAAACATACCTGGGGTAATTCATGTGTCTTAATATTAATACTAAAAAAAGAAGAAGTTTAATGTACTTTTTACTTATTTACATTATACATATACTTATAAATTATTTTATTTATTTTGTTTAAGGTACAAGATGTTGAAATGGAACTTTCAAATCCCCAATGGACAATATTCCGTGCTGTTCAAGAACTGATTCAACAAACAGATCTTGGAACTCGTCAAGATAAAATGCGCAGAATATGGGAACCTACTTACACGTAATCACTTTTCTTTTAAAATTTAACGAATGCAAGTTGTCATATAGTCGACAAATTGTATATGAGAACTAACTACAAAGGTTTTAAACTATAATCCCTACTAATAAACTGTATTCGCACTATAAGCTATGCTATTATAAATTGAGTTAAAGTTCACAGAGTAAGACTCTCCGTGCTGTCAAATTAATTCCTTAATATTTGTAAAATGATATATAAATTTATAAGGATTATAAGTAAAAGTCCAGTATAGAGAAGTGTTCACTAAGAGAAGTTTCACTGATAAATATTATGATTTGAATCATAAGCACACCAGTGAATTTTTTAAGTGTTTTTGCATTTGCATTAAAATACCTCAGAAACTAAAAATCGGACTTGCATACTGTAAGAGAGGGATGTATTCAAAATTGTACCTGAATGTTACATGTTAGAGAGGGAAAAAGGGAACGAGTTTGGTTGAACATATGGACTAAAGTATCTCAGAAACTAGAGATCGGAGCTGCTTACTGTAACTGAAGGAAATGTTCAGCATTTCATCCTCTTCGTAATGAGCTATTATACATAACTGTATCTTAACGTCACGATGTGTTAGAGAGGGAAAAAGGGAACGAGTTTTATTGAACATATGGACTAAAATACCTGAAAAAAATCTGACATAGATACTGTAACAGAGGAAAATATTCAACTTTTAATTTTTTTTTGTAGTGAGCTATTATTCAAAATTGTATCTTACCATCCCGCCTTGTTAGAGAGGCGAAAAGGGAAAAATAGTGTTGAGAACCAACTGATAACGAATTTTATTGAAGATATAATTAGTATAGAAGATGGATTAAAATATCTCAGAAACTAAAAATCGGATCTGCATAGGCTATAATTCCAAATCGTATCTTAACCCAATACCGTGTTAGAGAATAAACCAAATGATAACGGGTTAGTTAACATATGGATTAAAATATTTCAGATGCTAAAAATTGGACCTGTATACTGTAAGCAAGGGAAATGTTCAGCATTTCATTCTCTTTGTAATGAGCTATTATACATAATTGTATATCTTAACGCGACCGTGTTAGAAAGTTGAAAAGGGAAAAATATAGCGTCATTGGTGTGCTTAAGTTGAATAGTAGTGCTTAAGTTGAAAAGAGATGAAATCCGTTTTATATTTTAGTTCCATTTCTGATTCTTGAACCTGTCTGTATTTTTAGGATTATCTATCGTGAAGTTTCTTATGATGAAACAAGTAGTGAAAAAGACGGTGGCGATCAGACACCGGTAATATCTGGTAAAAGAAGATCATGGCTTGGTCCATGCTCTCCTTCCACTCCTACACCCACGCACACTACTTCCTCTTGCACGGTCGAGCAGGTCTTGGATCTGTTGAAACATCTCTACGTTCTTACTCAGAGGAAGGAGGAGCCTACTTATTTCGGTAAGTCAAATATAATTATGATTGATTTTAGTTTAATTAGATATTTTTATGGTGTTAATTTTATTTTATGTTTAATATTTTTCTTTTTATACTTTTTAAAAAATTAAATTATTCTATAATATGAGTGTAATTATTATCTCCATATTCATATCGGTGTAAATATGATATGAAAATATCTATATTTTTAATTATGGTGGCTAATATTATGAATAAAAATTTTCCTTGTTTTCAGACGATTTGAACGATGGTGTGCTCATTAGCCGAGAAGATATGCAGAGTAAAAAACTTACAAATAAATTGGTCCAACAGCTGCAGGAGCCTCTTGTTCTATCTTCTGGTGCGCTTCCTCCATGGTGCGAACATCTTTGCCAGGAATTCCCATTCCTTTTCCCGTTTGAAACGAGGCATCTTTATTTCACATGCACAGCCTTCGGACCATCTAGGTGATTAAAAATTGTTTTTATTATAATGTTTCATTCGTTTGAATATGTCTGTAATTTTGGAGTAAAAAATGATTATTAACATTGGAAATATTATAAATAGGTAACTTTATTTAGTTCATCTATTTGATTGGTATATACCTAGTGTACACTTAGCTTTAAATAGTCAATATGGAAGTTCTAAATTTTTCCATCCAAGATACAGAAACTTTAGTAATAATAGTTGATCCTGAGTCTTAATATTTTATTCACTTACTTCATCTTAACATCATAATTATAAAATGAATTTGCTATTCCTTTTGTTTTGTTGTTTTTTTGTCATAACGCTATATCTTCCTTAATTCATCATAAAATCCATTAGCCATTAATTTGAGGATTATCTTTTCTCCAGTTAGGAAAAATAATTATTCCTTTAAATCAGGGGAAAAGGTTATAAGAAAAAGAAACTTTATTTGCATTACATATAACTCAATAAGTGTATAATTTTTTATTACATCCTGATAATTTTAAAGGTTAATCCTTTAATTCCTTTAAAAGAAAAACAATTGAAATCAGACAATTTTTAGCAAATTGCAGCTCACTGTTATATGTTCGCTTGTTTTTGTTTTTTATTTTGAATGAACTAATGTAATTGACCGAGGAAAAGAAAATTAATTCCGCCATCTCCTTGTACAATACATCAACTTATTTTGATATTATTTTTTCATTTGTTCCTTGACCAATATACTACGCGAATTATTGGCAGGAGTCAGCAAATAATTTTTAAAACAACATTAGAAAATGTTTTAATCTTAATTATAGTACCAGGGAATTCTTTTGGAAGCTATAATAGTAGTTGTAAAGTTTTGAAACTGCAATTGTTTTAAATAAGGAAAATCATGTAACTTTTATACACTTAATATTTCTGAATAGCTTGAATACTAAGAGGTTTTGTAAAAATTAAGTGATCTAAATTAATTTAAAAAATTTAAAATATTTTGTCTACTCAACAAAACTTTTCAATAAATTGTCATACAATATAATTTAATGAAATCGAGTACTTAAGAACTCATTACTTTTTTTTTTTTTTTATTGTGATTATTCATTTCAAAAATCTGTATAATTGATGATTGTTATGTAAACCTTTTGTTGTTCAGGTCCATCGTTTGGCTCCAGAGCCAAAGAGATGTTTGCCTAGAAAGGCAGAGGACACCAGGTCTTTCTCCTCGACGTGATGATCCCCATGAGTACAGGGTCGGTCGACTTAAACACGAAAGAGTCAAAGTTCCTAGAGAGGGTAATACCTTAGCATGGGCCTACCAAGTCATGTCTCTACACGCATCAAGAAAATCTATCCTCGAAGTAAGTGACTCATCAAAATTATTATTATTATTCTTTGCAACTTTCGGTATCCAAGGGCCATTGGTGTTACCACCATCGAACCTCTGGGTTTGCTTGACCTTCCATATTGTGGCTGTATGAAACCAAAAATTTTCAACTAAAAATTGAAACCAAAATAATAATAAAAACCAATTTCGATAAATTAATTAAATAATGAAAACCCGCCAGCTCCTCTCTAATTTTTCCCTACCTCAATTACAGCTGCCTTTTATACGGTGGGCTTGAGATCAGATTGAAGAGACTAACGAATTATTTAATTAGATTCATCTTTGTAATCCCCAGGCGCTCTCATGTCCAGCTTTCCAGCAGCAATATATCTTAAGTATATTGCTTTTCCTAACATTTCCACCCAAAAAGCCTTCATACCTTCTTGATTTGATTAATCCTTGTTCCTCTGTCCATTCTCTGAACAAAAGATTCCTACCCACATACCTGTATATTCCATCTCATAGTACTGCTTCCTTTAAAAAGTTCTTTATAATTTGTGCTACTTGTGTTGGAATTCCTCACCCATCTCCATACACAAATTTTTCAACTTGTTTTAAGCGCCTATTATTCATTGATCTCCTCACTCATCAATCTTCTGAATAAATGTAAGAATTTAATTTTTTTATCCAAGTGTTGTCAGCTTTATTTTACTGCAATTTCACAATCCATATATTATGTAAGTTGCTTATCAGTACAATTATGTAAACGTACTTATATTTATTTATCTCTAATTTTATTATTTTATTTATACTTATCCTTTGTATTAATTCTAAGGTTACTTCGCTCTGTATTTTAATTATTTCTTGTCATTTTATGCCAGACAAATGACACTTTTATTGTTCATTATTATTATTAACTATTTGGAAACATATTTGATTAATTTTATATTCTGGAATTAACATTTCATTCGATATAATCGTGCTCGTTTCAAGATTTAAACATTTAAATCTAAATAATCCAATTATTAAATTGTTTGCCATTTTCTCTAAAATATAAGTTACTTTGTTTATTGTAGAAGTAAAGTAAAGTTCCTTCAGAAATTTATTTCTTCTATAAATCTCTTCTTTCATGTGGATGTTGCTTATTAAAAGAAGTGATTAAAGTTGTTGTTAGGAGAAAAACTTGTGATGATTCACAAGTATGTTATCTAGATTTTTTTTTGAATTTATACATTTTAATAACATTGAAATCCCGGCTTCAGATGTAATCATATATTTGGGTTTTACTTAGACAAAAGACTACCTTGGAGGACTCACATTAATCAAAAACAAATGGAATTAAATAGACGATACGTTATAGAACTCGGGCTCTGCTAAATTCTCATACATTAAAAAAATTAAGTCTTTTCTGTCGAGAGTGTTGTGAACTATAGTTGATCTTTCACCGATTTATGTCACAAATGATATATTACCTTAAGACTTAAATATCCCAACAGTTTTAGACACTGCAAAAGAAAACTATAACTTTTACCTAAGACTAACAACATGAATCCTCTGACAGAAATCCTTAAACCCACAAAAAACTCCTGTCCAAAAAGTCCATCACAATGATTATGTAGGCATTGGCCAAGAGATCTACTGAGCTAATTTGTATACTGTGATGGGACGCTGTGAAGTTGCCAAAAAATTGCTCCATGCAAAGTAATTTTATGTTGGTTGATAAAGAAAAGGAATTTATATAATTTTAATTATGTGTTTTTTTATGTTAGGTTGGTTTCCAAGGAGAGGAAGGAACTGGTTTAGGACCTACTTTAGAGTTCTATGCCTTAGTAGCCGCAGAACTTCAAAGGAAAGATTTAGGTGTGTTGTCATACATTACTTATATGATCAATAATAATTATAATATATAAATTTATTAAACATTGAATTAAAATCATGTTTTCATTAATTCTATCACCTTTATACTTATTCCAACGATTTCGATACTTCCAGGTATATGGCTATGTGATCTTGAAATATTTTCCAACTCTAACAACAGCACAAGTACAATGGATTATTTGGATGAGAAAGTCAAACCACCCGGATATTATGTTCGTCGCCCTGGCGGTCTTTTCCCCGCACCATTACCTCAGGTTGCTTTAATAACTCCATATTTTTAAAATATTAATAAATATATTAAAAAGTTTTATTTTCCAGTGATTTATTTATTTATTGTGCAAATTTGGAAAATTAAATTATATTTATTTCCTAATTGGTAAATGGTTGACTGTCGTGGATAATGAAGAGAAGAATAGTTGGGGTGGTCAGTCAAAAAAGAATGCAAAAATAAATGATAATATTTATTTTTACATATACCTTTCCCTTTATTCCATTTACAATACTTATGTCTCGTTTTTTGACTATGTTTACTTCATCATTCCACACTTTGTACCTGTTATTATTATTTGTCTCTTGTTCTTACTATTGTCATTATTCTAACAACTTCATTTTATTGTAATTTTTATATTTCTCATACCTTGTTATCTGGTTCTTTTCTTAGCCCTGATGATGGCCTGAACTTCAGGTCGAAACGTCGGCATATGTAAAAATAAATATTATCATTTATTTTTGCCTTATTTTTTGACTGACCACCCCAACTATTCTTCTCTTCATTATATTTATTTCCTTTGTGATGACATTTTGGCCCAAGTTTCAGGGCTGCTCGTTCAAAGGATATCAGACGAGTAATAAATTCTATTTTACTTTATAGGGAATTAATTTGTTTATATGTAATCAGTGATAAGAAAAATTAATTAATATTATAATATAAAGATATGTATGACATTTGATACAGTCAGTTGCCCTCACATTGTAAAATATACTTTGAACAAAAGTAATAAATACTAAGGTTATTTTGTTATAATTGTATATTTTGTGAGTTTATTGTAAAAAGTCAGTCCTTACTTGACATTTCGTTAGCTGAAATAATTAAGAACTTAGATGAATTTTTCCTTTGTGAAATCAGAAAATTGTGAACTTACTATAACTATATATGATAAATAAAAGGATTTGTGCCATTTTATTAACACTTACAGTGTTTTTCTATCGATAAGTAAAGTATAAATTTACAAAAACATTTGAAACAAAAATTGAAAGTTAACCTATATCAAACTTACACTTGGTGACTTTTTGCAATAAACCGACGATTTGTTCAAATCCATTTTTTTTTTTTTTTTTTTTTTAAAGGAAATTATTTAAAAACTATTTTTTTTTTGTTTTAGGATTCAGCTCATTGCGATGCCGCTGAAAAGCACTTTTGGTTTCTGGGCGTGTTCCTTGCCAAAGTACTCCAGGATAATAGGCTTGTCGATTTGCCTTTATCTCACCAGTTCCTCAAACTTCTGTGTCAGGGTGATAGACTTCATGCTCCGACTGATAGGTAATTAATTCCCATTTTAGTTTCGACTTTAATTAAATTAGGAAAATAAGTCTAGTATATTATTTAATGACCAACTTCTGGGCTTTTTATTGTTTCACATCAAAATCTATTGTACGAGTCTTAAAATTTTATATTAGAAACTTAACTATATTTTTTTTGTGGTAGATTTGGCCGCTTGACAAGAACACGAAGCGGTGACGATGACGTCATGCTGACATCCATTATTTCAGACATCAGTGAGAAGGAATTGGAACTAGATCCTCCTAAAATTACAGCACCTAAAGACAAACCTTGGTAAGTTTTTTTTTTTTTTCCATTTACTACATTTACAGGTGCAATAATCATCTCAACAAAAAAAGTCTTTAAAGTTAGGCTCTGTTCATGTATGGATAAATTCAAAACAATACCATTGCTATCTTTAATATAACATTAAAGAGAGTATCGTTAAAAGGATCTCAAAATAATCGACCAGTTACATATTTTTCTCTTAAACTAAATATTTTAAAACCATTGTCTCATATATTTAATGTTATTTTTTACCTATTTGTTTCAGGATCAGCGGTTTGCTAACAATGGATGATTTAAAAGAAATAGATCCTGCCAGGGGTAGATTTCTTACAGAACTGACAGAGTTGGCTGCTCGAAAGGCTAGAATCATGACTGATAATAGTTTGTCAGTCGAGAGCAAAGCCCGCCAAATACAAAATCTTGCCTACACATGCTCCGCTGCTGGTCAGCCCGTTCCCTTGGAAGATCTAGCCATCACGTTTACTTATCTTCCTAGCTTAAATGTTTATGGTTTCTCGGCTGCAGATCTTGTTCCAAATGGTTCCGATATAGAGGTTTGTAATTTTTTATTCTTCACATTTGTCCAGAATTTTATTAAATATGTTAAGTTTTATAAATTACGAATTGACAATAGAATAGTCAAAAAATTTAAAAATATTTTTAGTATATTTTGAAACAGCGTTTCAAGAGAAAAATTCGGTGTCAATTTTCCATGACCGTAAGTCCTCATTATAAAGCTGTTTCTGTTTCACTATACTTAACTGATATTTTATTTTATTTTTTTTTTTTACTGTATGTATGTTATAAATATAAAAATTACAACATTAATTTCATTTTAAAACAGAATTTGTATCACCTACACTTGACTAATTATTATGATGAAGTTGTATTCTTACATACTATTTAGATTGAATCTTAGGTATATTTTATAATTTAACTTAACAAATGTTTTATCTATGGTTGTTTTTTGTGGTTTGTGAACTGATTGAATCAATTTGTGTTTAGGTAAAAATGGAGAACTTGGAAGAGTATATAGATTCTATGGTTGAGTTCTGTTTAGAGCGTGGGATAGCAAGGCAAATGGAAGCATTTAAAAAAGGATTTTCTAGAGTTTTCCCTATTGAAAAACTCAGGGCATTCACTCCAGCTGAAGTATTTATCAATTTATTTTATTTTTTAAAAATAAATATGTTTAGATTAATATATAATTATATGTTCTTGTTCTTTATAGGTAAGATTAATGCTTTGTGGTGATCAAAATCCTCACTGGACCAGAGAAGACCTTATTAACTACACAGAACCTAAATTAGGTTACACTAGAGAAAGGTAAGTGTTTAGTTTTTTTTTTTTTTAATTTTGTAATTATTGAATCAAATAATTATTTATGGACAATATTTGCAGTGCTGGGTTTTTGAGATTGGTGAATGTTCTCGTAAGCCTCAACGGGGAAGAAAGGAAGGCATTCTTGCAGTTCACAACCGGTTGCAGCTCCTTGCCTCCTGGTGGGTTGGCCAACCTCGTGCCGAGGCTCACGGTGGTTAGGAAGGTGGACGCCGGAGAAGGATCTTACCCGTCCGTCAACACCTGCGTCCATTATCTTAAACTGCCCGATTATCCTACGGAAGAAATACTCAAGGAGAGGCTTTTGACCGCCACCAGGGAAAGAGGATTCCATCTGAATTAGAATCCTTTAAACTATGATTTAGTCAACCTCTTGGTCTATTCTAAAGTTTATTAGTTTTTCATTTTTTACATATGATCTTTTTATCTTAAGCTCTATTGCATCTTATTAGTAAATGATAAACTGAATATTTTTATTTTTATTTTAGAGAATGAGATAAACTTCGTGTTTCCTCATTAATTTTTATCTTTTTTTTTAATTATAATTTTTTTTTTTTTAATTAAATCTGTAGACAAACTTTATGAAACCAATGATTTTTTTTTCTTTTATTATGATGCTTAACCAGAATAGTGATGTGTTTTCTCTTAAGTGTTGTGTTGTTGGATCAAAGCGAACCAAAGGTCTGTTTATTATTAGATTAATATAATTTTTTTTTTAAAGAATAGATAATTTGGACTGTTTAGGTCACTTACAGAATGATTCGAGTGTGTTTTTTTAAAAATTAGATAAGAAGATAAAAAATATAAATGACACAAAATTTAATATTTTTCACATTTTACCTTTAAAACTAATAACTACTAAATTTAAAAATAAAAAAAATATTTTGTGTATGAAGTATATCTTGTGATTATGAACTAATTTTTGAAATGATTTTGTAAGTTTGAAAATAACGTTTGCCAGTATCACATTCCATTTCTTTTTTCTTTTTTGTTTTCTTCAATCAGGCCAATACTCTTATGTTGATTATTTACTTCAAAAGTCTTAGAGAACGATTAAAAAGTTGTTGAGGAATTTACTTATAGACAGATTTAAGATTACGTTTGAAATCAAAAAGAAAATTTTAAACGTTCAATTTGAAACTTTTCTAAATTTTTTTTAAAATAAACAATACATTTTTTTTAAATTCCTTGACCTGGTTAGAAAACTTCACCTGCTGAGTGAATCTGTTGTAAATAATTTGAGGCTGTACCATCGATCTTATGATCGCTTAGCTTAGCGGTGCTTTCTATTCTGAGTGAAAGAAACTGTTTTTACTTTATTGTTGTGTTTATTAAAAACGAAGTATTTTGCGTGAACAAGTAAATGCAGTTTCACTTGTGAAATTTTGTAGCTAGTCCTCTTGTAGAGATATAAAAAGTATATTAATTTTTTGGAAGTTAACGTAATTTATTTTATTTTTGGGATTATTTGAAGATTCTTGTGCCTTACTGCATGTGCTCTCCTGCTAAAACAGTATGGTAATTATATAAAGTTGTTTTTTATATGTGTTTGTGTGTATGAAAAAATGGATCCACACGAGTACCCAAATGTGTAAATAAAAAAAAATATATATATATAGATTATAAATATTCATTCGGTATTATTGGTATACATGTATATGTATAAATGTATATGTATGTGTGTGTATATATGAATTTATACATATACATATATAATATAAAGTGTTAAGACACTCATACATATACTCGGTTATATGTGTATGTGTGTGCTATTAGTAAATAACCTTTAGTTATAATTTAGATTATTGTAAATAGAAATATATACAAATATTATGATGTAAATTTGAGAATTAAGAAAAAAAAAAATAAAAGAGATATATAAGTTTCTAGTACTATGGTGCTTAAGCACATAATGTTGAAGCAAATTGTTTATCTAGATGTATGTTCCACTTTTCTTTGTGATCTTATGAGTATGTGATGGGTTAGGCGTTAAGTTTTAAGTTGTTTGAAAAACTAAAAAAAAATTAATAAAGCAAAATATTTTCCAAAGATGAACAATTTTTTTTGTTTTGTTTTTAACTACCTTTTCGTAATAAGTATCAGTATGTAAATAAGGAAAGGCAAAACAGTTCAGTTCCTTTTTATCCTCTGTTTCTCAACCGTTTTTTTTTTTAATAGCTATTGAAGAGCTTCAGTGTTGTTAATAAAAAAAAAATTGGAAACAGTGAATATAAATGTTATTTTGTTCAAAATCACTAATCTCCGAAGATTGGTTCTTCACCAATTGCTTTGAAATTTTGGTATAATGTTGTAATCAAATTTAGGAATGTTTTTATATATATTTCATTAGCAGCCTCTGTTTTGTTTCGAAACAGTGGCTGAAAAATGTGAGTCTCTATAGATTATATTGTCAAAACGGTTGTAACAATTTTAATTAGACTCGGATAAAGATATTGAAGAAAAGGGACTGAAAAAAATAACAATGGACTCTGAATTTTATTCGCAAATAACTCAAATGGTGCTTAACTGATTTGTATTGTAAGTGCATATACAAGTGTAAAAATGCATGCATAAGAGTAGAACAAATATTGTTGGAAACATGCAATTTCATGTTAAGTTATCCTCAAATTTTCAATATGGTCGATTTTTAAACACCGGTTACATTAAAATATTCTTTCTAAAGAAATATCTGTTAATAGGAATCGTCATCTTTATTATCTCTAATATTGTTAATGTTTTGGAACATTATTAAAAAGAAAAAAAATCAAAAGAGCTTATTAATTAGGCACACGTACAGGTACTTTAAGGTTGTAATTTTATATTTTCCAACCATATTAAAGAATAAAGCATTTCATTTCAACGGAATTAGAGTCTTTTTTTTTTTTCATTTAATTTCAACAATAGACCGCAATGAAGGTAAGTTAACTTTTATTTTTAATTATGATTAATGATTTTTTTTTATCTCACATTTTGTATATAGGTCCAATTCAATAAATAATCACTCTCAATTTGTAGATTATTCTTCATTAATTTGTATGCTTCGGGGAATCTTTATCCCTCTCTTGGCCATATTATATTGATTACATGACAGCATAGTATGTGATTATTGAATTCGACATTCAGGCAAAAAATGTTTTTTTTTTTTTTTTTTATTTCTTTATGACATTTACAACTGTATTACATAAATACATCAAGTAAATTTGAACATAATTGATATAATGACATGAATACACTTGCTGAGTAACTACCCAATGGTAGCACTCTAATGATATGACTACATTAGGAGATCACGGGGCCATCTTCTTTTCAGACGCCTCGGAGGGTTATCAGGAATTGAAGAGGAAGCAAGGTTAGAAACGAGAGGGTTGGGATGATTCTGAAGTTTATTATGGAAGGATAGGTATCTGGATTGGGCCAGATCTGAAACATAAGGAACATTAAGATCTTTATGGATAATTTTATTAGTGACAAAGTAAGGAGCATTGAGGATTTTACGAAGGATTTTGGATTGTAAGGATTGGATGCGAGAGGAATTCGATGGTTTAGTGGAGCCCCATAGCTCAACTCCGTAAGTCCAAATAGGTCTTATTATAGTCAAGTATATGAGTCTTTTGTAATTAATGGGAAGTTTAGAGCGTTTGTCTAGTAAGTGCTGAAGTAATCGGAAACTTCGAGCGGTTTCTTGTCGTTTCAGTCTAGTATGAGGATTCCAAGTTAGTCGTTTCTCCAGGTGGAGTCCTAGGTATCGGATTTGCTCAACCGGGATAAGTGGAGTATTGTTAAAGGAAACTGTAGGACAGGAAGTCGTTGGTTTACGACGAAGGGTAAAGGTAATTTGGTGGGATTTATTGGAGTTTATTTTAATTCTCCAGTTTTGACACCATTCTTCTAGATTTATGATGTGTGATTGAAGCATTTGGGATGCAATTGCTGGGTCATTGTTTACTGATAGGATACATGTGTCATCGGCATATGTGGTGATGACAGTGTTGGGATGGGTTGGGATGTCAGCTGTATAAACTGTATAGAGGATAGGACCTAGGATACTACCTTGAGGAACACCAGCGGACTGGGAACAAAAAATGTAAGAATGAGAAAGATCATAACTAGAAACTATTAAATCTTTTTTTATTTTTTATGGAGAATTATACAGGTACGAAAAGACTTAAGAATTTAGTAGCATATTGTGATAATATTTCATTATTAATTATGCAAAAACAAAATATATGGTTACCTGTGGAGGAGAACCATACATGCATATTGAGATGTATTCTTTGAGAGAATGGAGGAATTCATTTAATTAGGATCGAGAGAAGTAAATTCCAAGAATGACATTGCACAGGAGAATCTCCATCCGATTGTCTCCGCAAACTGGTACTACCAAGGACTATTTAGGCATTTCAACAGCTGAGTAGTATCACAAGCCACTAAGATCCATCTATATAAAGACATTGGTTAGGCCGGTGCTTACTTACGCTGGGACCAGGAACAGACAGTAAGATTCGACAGGCAGTTCCTGAGGAGAATCTCAGTGGCAATATACGTAAGTGGATTCTAGAGAAAGTGGACTAATGCCAAATTAATGGGTCCGTTTGGGAATGGCGATGTGGTGACCTTAATTAAAATAAACTGCCTCAGATGGGCTGAACATGTCGACAGAATACCTGAGTGTCAATCTAAAAAAACATGCTCTAGAAAGAATATTTGGCAAAAGGAGAGGAACACCCAGTTTGCGGTGGATAGATGGCATAGCTGCGGATGTCTGATTCATGTTTGAGATTGAGAACCGAAAGGCGGCAGCATGGAACAGGGATGACGGGATCAAACTACATGAAGCACTCTCTCCATGCGGGACAGTGCTGTTCAAGAAGTATTATGGTCTCATTGAATATAATATGTTATATAATTTAATATAATAAGACCTTGATGCACATTTTTTATGATGAGCAGACTTATATTAGTGGAATAGTATGTTGAATGATGCCAGGTAAATAGGTGAAAATGAATTGATGACAGCTGCTTTAACCAGAAATACATGACACTTGTTATTGGCAGAAGTCATGACTGCATGATCTTTTCTTATGCAATATGGCAATAAGAAAAGGTCTGTAACAATATGAGTTTTAACTGTCACCACACTTTCAGCGCTGTATGTGCTAAACAAGCATTGCTCAGCAACCCAACAGGAGTTCCTATCCCTGGGCCAGGAGCATTCAGCTATGACATTAATTCCCACCCTCTCTCCTGGCTCAGGAAAATCCCTGTATGGCCTAAAAGTGATGAAGGGATGAAACTAAGTGGGAAAAAAGTACTTTCGTTAATAATTTCGTATAATTGTAATGTTCTCACGAACATCATACTCGCAATACTTCACAGTTGGGATGGAAATAAGGGAAAACTAGTTATTTTAATTTTAGTTATTTTACTGTTCTGGGTTATAACCAGTTACTTTTTTAATATACTCCGCAGTACAGACCCGTTATTATCAAATTATTAACATACGTATAAAACTTCGTGAATGGCTTTATCTTATCGTAATCTTGAAACTTTTTTATTTACGAAAATTCTCAGAAATGGGGCGTTTTCAAATTGGAGATTGATGAACTCTGTATATTCAATGAAGTGCGAAAAATTCAAGAGGACCCATTTGCTTTCCACTTGAATCGTGAGATAATATGATGACAAAATCTAGAAAAATAGTGGCCTTCAAAAATATTTGACCATTTGACGTGACCTCAGCCCCAACATGTCAAAATAACGGTTATCTAAGCCAAACGGTCCAATATTTTTGTAGGCCACCTTTTTTTTTTCTTTCGATTTCATCAAATTAACTTACTATTCAAGAGGAAAGAAAATAGATATTAATGAGTTTTTAGTGCTTCATTGAGTTAATTAATTTAATAAGAAAATGTCCCAATTCTCAGAATTTTCATTATTACGATTAGGAAAATGATGAAGACATTCATGAAGATTTAGGCGCATGTAAATAATTTGATAAAAAGAAGTCTGTACCATGGACTAATAGTACAATAAGCCGATTTGAAAAAATGACATCTTAATAATAATATTTTTTTTCCAAACCATCAAGTCTCGTTACAAGTGGGTCATTCATTACTCCTGTAAAAGTTTTTGATTTTTTACATTATTGTTTGAAAAATTAATGATCATTGTATTTGTAAGTTAAATTGATAGGTTTCGTATTTATTTAACTAATTTCAAGTATTAATTTTAATAAAGAGATGAAACCTTATAAAAACACCATTTCAAAACAATAATAATCAGTGAAGAAATAGCGGACTGTATAAAATATAATAATGAAGTTAGTTGAGAGGTTGCTGATTGATACAATTTTTTTTTTTATCACGGAGTAACCTTAGTAAAATAATTACCTGTAAACAATTATCAACAAACTTTTTTTTATTAAGAAATTTTTATTTCAATGACGGCCATCACTACTTCACAGATGTTCATATAGAAAATGAGAGATTTCTCTTTGCCAAACTCGTTCGATTTGTGAAGAAAAGTCTGTCTTTCAGAATGATGCATTCGCCACATAAATCAATTTCTCTAATAAGTAAAGAAGTACCTGAATAAGTTAGAAATTAGTTCTCAGTCCAAAGAACTACAATACGAATGGTTAATCCATGTTTTGCTGGTCTCTACTAAACTTACTCAATTTGTATTAATAAAATAAAGGTTTTGTCTGTACATTGAATAGAATCAACCCGTTTCATGATATCTTTCCGTTTCATTCATTAAAGACACCAAATGCACGTTTAATAATTGTATATAATTATACAATTGTATATAATTATAATTGTATAATAAATGTTTAATAATTTTCTCAGGGGTAAGCTCAGCAATGGCTTATTTTGAAATTTTGACATTGTATTAAGGTTTGCTTGACTTAGAACATAGGCTTTAAATGAAAACCAAATATTGAATAGAACCAAAGTTATGAATTCTTGAGTAATTTGTCTAGAGATCCCCGTTAGGCAGATACTTCAATTCTCATCCCAACCTACTATAACGCGAGCCACATTTAAAAGTTGTACTATTCAAGTGATGGAAAATATTATTACAACTCTGTAACGCATTGTCGCTTAAAACGCGTGTAAAACACACTCCTTTTTCAACAGTCTCCGATCTTCCCGTTCAAGGTGTCATTCGATTCAA